TTGCCCCCCCCTCGCGACGCCCATGGTCTCCTTCAAATATCTGAAAGTTGCTTAACGTTGCTACAGAGTTCTCCACAATGAGCGATACATATCCAAATCGTCATCATCAGCAAGATGAACATTACTGCAGCCTAAAAACGTACAGTGCACAAGACTACAGTCGCCGTGTAAAGTGATTAGAGTATCACGAGCCTTCAAGAAGTCAAAACATCGTAATTTATCAAGAATCTAGAAATTCGTCTCGGAACTATACAACAACACCAATGTTTTCTTCAACACGGTTTCAAAGAACCACGATTTCATCAACAAATGCGGGGATGATTTGTCAATCTCACGTTCGAACTCCATGACTATAGCGAGGATGACATTTCGTTGCAGTATTGGAAATAAGCCTTGCCGAACAGTGTTTTCTTCTTCATTTTCATCAGCTCTATCAAGAAATCTTCCAAATGTCTCCCTCGAAGCAATATTTGTCGTCAGGGATCTCGATTTTTATAGTTGGACTCTGTAAAATATTTGTTTGATTAGTCCTGCAAGTGATCTGGTCTTCCGAAGAAGTATTGGAAATTTTGTGGAGGTGTGCAGGGCTTCTGGTGGTGGTTAAACAAGCGGGGAAAATGGGGAAATAATTAAAGAATAATGAAAAAGAATAACATGTCAATAATTATTGCATGACTTTCATAAAACACACTTAATGTAAATGATAAAAAATAAAATTTAAAACCTAATTTACAGTCAATAACAATAAGAAAAACACATTAGTGGGTTTAAATTGGGGATGGTAGAAAGGGTATAAGTGCTCGCACTGCAAAAAGCTGAGCGCAACACACGCAGATGCGGCACCAAAGCGCGATGTGCGCGTGAAATAAAGGATGTTTATTAAATGATGGTTGTGATTATGATGGTGATGATGATGGGAAAAAGTTATCATTCACCTGTATAAATATACAGGTGAAGTGATGAAGGGGCCCAGTGATTGTGTAGCACTTTGGTGAATTGTGTAGTGAGTGAATTGAATGTCAGTTTACCAAAGACGGAAACGTAACCGTCGCCGACCGTGAAGTGGTAGGCCTACCACCGACTGTATCGGTAAAACGCCGGTGACGTAATCGTTTGGCATATCTCGGTTAAACCGTCGATTGCGCAGTTTGTTTCCGTCTTTGTGTGTGATTGAATAACTATGTCATTATTGATGAGAGCGTTTGATGTAGATGAGTGAAAGTTGATGAGTGATTGATTGCTTTACTGTGTTGGTGAAGGATGAATGTGCCGCTTCCGAGTTCTGCAAATACCTGCAGCGTAAGCAAGCGAAGCGATATGCGACCAGCGCAGCCTAGGGAAATTTCATGGGATATAAACGGCTTGGGTGGAAGGGAAATAGGCATAAAATAATGAATAAATCAACATAGGATTGAATAAATTAATAATTAAATTGAGATAAACAGTTTTCATCATTCAAATCGATAAAGTTATTCATGAATATCTTAAAACCATTATTAATAAAATTCTGATACAATGACAAAAACATTCAATCCATTCATACATTTAAGGAAATATTTTTTTTCTAAATGGGTGTGGGTGGGTCGGTTGTACAGGTCTTTCAGTAGTTATGGTTACAGGGCGAAAACAAGTGAAAGTGAAGTCTGTACTCTTGAAAGCTTCTTCTAGGTCAGCAAGAATAATACAGTTTCTCCATCAAACGTGCATCTACGAACGCTGGAATCGATTCGTTTGTGATGAGAACATCTCAAGTGAGCTACTAAACTTCTCCGCGGATTGAAGAAAACCCTTCAAGACATCCAAGAACATTTCATCAAAGGATTCTCCATCCACACCAGACTGAGAAAACCAACTGTGCCATGGAAATTTATCAAGTATAACAATTAAGGGGAGCAACAATATACGGGGAGCACGTCATGTCATTCTTCACAAGATAATGTTGACTAAGGCACTTACTCGATGAACAGCAAATCTACACGTTGGAAGACACAAACAACGGTAGTGTAGCATAAAGAATAATCTATCAAAAAGAAAGAAATCACCATAACGCCATGCATCCACGAGTTCCTTCGCTCGCCAATTGACAGATAAAATTCATCCTACCTTTGTCACCGGTCACCTCATAAGAAAGGAGAAATCAACGAGACAACACGAGTCCGGCAATCTCCTGACGACGAACTGAGGATACTGTTCGAAACGTCGAGTTAAACCAACTGGTTCTTCTCAGAACCACACAACTCACTAAAGACATATCGTTCGCATGGTATTTTCAACCTCCCATTTAAAGGAGAAATCGGCAAGTAAAGCAGTGGACTATTTTAATATCTGGGCTATTTTGGACAAAGATTTCTGCCCAATCCTGCATATTTACAAGAAATATTTCAACTGTAATTCGTTATTGAACACCTGAAGTAATGCAATAAGCAAAGGACAAGAAACAAGACGTGATCGTTCAACGGCGTTACTAGAAGATGAATGACAGAAAGAGGAATCTGCATCAGTCGTTTATTTTTCACGGTTTAGCGCTGCGTGCCAGATGTAAGACAGTCTTTCAGGCTGCAAACCTCTAGAGTCTTATGTTTGGTTAACTTGTGGAGAATCCTATAAAAAAATTGTGTCAGTTGTCGGTCCGGACGGGTCCATGGCCCTTTGAGCTTGTAAGTGGAATGATAAATAATATTGGATTAAAAAAAAAGTTACTATATAGGCCTAATACCCCGTCAAAAATGCTCAGTGTGTTTTAAGTATACGTATAATTAAAAGCCTAACCTATGAAATGTTAAATGTCCATCGCGATAATTTTGAAGGGATATATATATATTTTTTTACATCCCCGTCCATCTAGGTTTCAATGATCGATTGCAAATGGTCACTGATCGTTGAAGCGTCGACGAGATACATCTCCCCCCCCCGATTATTAACAAAGGTGTGTTTTCAAGTGTGTGTGTTTTTTATTTGTACAACTCGTGTCACATGGTTTTGAAACTTCGTCGATTTATGTATTTGGCTCTCTAATATAACTGACAATGGTGTGGAAAGGACGGCTGCATGTAAGGGGAGATGGGAGGCCGTGTTTTTGTAATTTAAATATATTTGTATACGCAAAGAAGCCTGTGGTTGAATATCTTGATCAGTAATATTTCTTATAATTTAAGTATTGGTCACGTCGTGTATCACACGATGTGCAGTATGTAGGCTGTGTGAAAATAACAAACCGATGATCAGTCAATGGTCACGTGATTGTAATTTACCAAACATAATGATCGAAATGATGAAATACGATTGCTGTATTGATTACCCGTGAATGAAGACTGTAAGTTTAAGTTTTGAAATATCGACAATCAACAATTGATTGTGTCGGTTAATCGATTATAAGAAACGTTATGCTATGTGCTGATTATCGTAACGTATTCATTTGTGAATTTGTAAGTGGCCGTAAGAGAAATATGGTTTAATCAAAATAATCTGACAAGAAAATGTATAATCTCTGAATTCGATACAATATCGATAATTGATCAAATCAGTTTGAAAGTAGACCTATGCCTATGTCGAAATAAATAAGAAGGAAAAAAATGATGATTCAAGGACAATCAAACAATGGTGTGGAAAGGACGGCTATAAGGGGAGATGGGAGGCCGTTTTTGTGTTTTTTGTTTTGTAAATCTAAATTACTTTATTTCTATAAGCAAAGAAGTTTGTGGTTGAATATTGCTATCAGTAATATTTCTTATAATTTCAGGCGTCGTGTAATGTGTCAAAACCGACGATCAGTCAACGGTCACGTGATTGCAATTTACTGAAAAATAAAACTGATCGAAATGGTGAAATACGATTGGTGTTTAAGTTGCCCGTGAATGAAAGGTGTAGGTTAAAATATGGAATACCGTCAATCGATAATGCGTTGTGTGTATGGATGGAATATAGATTAATCGATTATATAAAAAACGAGTATACTGTAACAAATTCAGGGTATTAGAAATATAATCTCTGTATTCGATGTAGTATCGATAATTGATCAAATCAGCCTGTCTACCGTATCGATTTCATTGAAACTGCACATTGGTAGGAAAAATTGATTAACCAAGGACCATGAAATCCAGTAATGGTGTGGAAAGGACGGCTATAAGGGGAGATGGGAGGCCGTTTTTTAATCTTTTTTTGATTGCTAAATACCTTGGATATTTTATTACAAAATAATGTACGTTCAATCATCAAACAACACCGATTGGAACTTATTCAAATGCGAGCTTAAAGAAAGTAGGCGTTACCTTCGGCAATCGATACGATGAGAAGGAACAAAGGATCTTCAAATGTAAATGACGCACCTCACATCATCTTTTTTCGGGGTGGCCTGCAGCAAGGGCGGATACAGGCGGATCTGGGGGGGGGGGGGGGTCAATCAACGTTTAGGTCCCCCAAAAAATGGTCTAAAAAATTACGGCGTGGCCGCGGGCCCCGAATTTTTTTGGGGATTCTAGATGCTCTGTGGTGCGATCTGAGGCAATTTCTGACCACTTTAACCGATTTTCTTTTGGAAAAGATGGTGGTGTACGCAAACAACAAAATTGGGTTCGCTTTTTTCGGAAGGGGAGGGGGGCATGGCACCCATTGCCCCCCCCCCCCCGATCCGCCCTTGGCATGCAGACAAAATCTTAATGCAGAAAACGGATGGGTATGGGCTGTGATTATATGTAATTTTCTCCAGAATTGTTCTGTTTCTGATTTTCTTTTGAAGTTGGGGAATTGTTAAGTCTTCTTAGTGTAAAGGAGGAATAGGCCTACGCTCTGCTCTTATGACAACTTGGGCACCGTGATCTTGTTCGTATTAATTGCTGACAACCATAAATCAAATAAATATAATTCTCATTATTTTGTCACTTCTCTGTCCACTAAGCTTAAACCATTGCATTTAATGCTTGAACGTATCTGAAAGCTGATAATTTATCTAAAAAAGGGCCACGCATACAATGTGAATGAAAAAGCTAGAGGACAAATACAAGTTATTTAGAATATATAATTTTTAATTGACCAAGTGAAGCAACAAAAATGAAAGGATTAATAGGAAAAATGAAATATAAAATAATTCAGGTACTGACATTAACCATCAACAATCACAAAAATGTATCAAAATAATGAAACCAGTTGGAGAGAATGCATTTTTTACTTTGTCCTGAATTGTTCATTAATACGAAACAGATTTCCCATTACATCCCGCCACCTCTCTACAAAATGCTTTAATACTTTCCCCCACTCCCCCTCTACTTTACTCAACGCTATTCATATAAGTGTGAATTACTGTTTTAATTAATGCATAATGCTCACTTGCGCTAAATAGATTTCATCCAGGATTGTGAATTTGGATTCGCTTTTAGTTTTAGAAATTCAACATTGATTCTTGTAGAATCTCCTCCCTAAGAATTTTGCAGAATATGCACTTAACCTGAAATCATGGGGCCTTCAGTGAACTTATTCTAACGGTAGACTAAATCGCGTTCTAAATAAAAAAACAAACGATCACACATTACAATAAACCATATACCTCAACTGCCAAACAATTTTTTTTCTCCTGACTTTTTTTTAAACAGTGATTTCTCATCTATGCAAAAAAGTTTCATTATGCTCTCCAGTATTAAAAATATATTTATCACCTATTCTTGAAATTACACATAATATTAAAAAGATTATGTATTTCAGGGTAATTGGGCAACTTACTCAATTGTTCAATTTAGCAAAAACTTTCTTGAAATTACACATAATATTAAAAAGATTATGTATTTCAGGGTAATTGGGCAACTTACTCAATTGTTCAATTTAGCAAAAACTTTCTTGAAATTACACATAATATTAAAAAGATTATGTATTTCAGGGTAATTGGGCAACTTACTCAATTGTTCAATTTAGCAAAAACTTTTTGACCTTTGACTGACTTTTCATTCAGAAATCTGCTAGCTTGTCTCCTATTAAAGCAATAATCGTCAATGGTATCATTTTAGTAAACAAATGATGATGAATAGACTAGGTTTCACTTTACTTGTTACAATGATGCAATACTGTTCCAAATTTGCACGAATCCAGTATCAAAATATGTTTTTTACTATTATTATTCCTTACTTTTCTTTTGATTACTATTTAATTGTCAGATTTTACGAAAAGATATACAGACTTTTACATTTGTTACTTCGTACTTCTTATTATCTTTTAAATATATGAGGCACTTTCCGAATAGTTTCATCACGCATCCATTACTGCTGGCTGTATCAATTAATAAACTTCACACTCCAAGTTAGTAAAGTAGTAGGTAATCTGTTACTGGAACGCTACATTTTCATAACATGAATACAGAGACAGTCAACGTAAAGAGAAACTACATATGATGTTTTCTTGTGCTGATGAAATACAATGTAATATTGAGAAAGTGGTGGGAAATTTATCTGAGTAATCGAAGCAATAACTTCAAAAGGCCTCACAGTAGTAAAAGATTATTTATTTATGCCAAATAGCTTCATATGTGCTGTTAACAATTATTTACAACCGAATGAGAATGAACACCTTCAACTTCTGCTACCGTGGGTCTTTCTTGCATGTTGGTGCTAGAAGACAGTTTAGGAGTTCTTTTGGGGAACTTTGACAATCACCTGCAGAAGAAAAAAAGGAGAAAGACATTTGAAGACCTACATACAGAATGACTGTTAATTTTACTTAGGCCAAGGTATATGATGAACTGTTAAAAAAAACAATCCAACCAAGCACTGACTGTTGCAGATGAGTTCGAAACTAAATTTATGGTGAAACATGCTGCAAGGTTTTTCTTTTTTAAAAAGCACTTGTTGTTTCGTGTAGTAACTACCAACAGATCACAAGCAGTGTTTTTTTCTTCAACAGCTGTGTAACTTAAGGAAGCGTTGAAGAGTAAAAAAAAACTTTGGGGGAATTCTTTGTTCCATCTTTACTTCATCCATGGGTATTTAAACATCCCAAATGTGTCCATCTTGCTTCTGGAATGCACGTTGTCAAAGACAGCCCGACATATCTTAAAGCTGCAGTCCATCATTTGCAGCTATCCACAAAGGAACTAACGTAATTATTGTTGAAAAACATATTTGGTTGAAAGATAGTAAGGGGACTAAGTGCGCACAAGCGTTAGCATGATGCACACCTGCGCGCTGTTGCTATAATTCGTCGGATCGGTGCGCGACATCGCGTAGCTGCAATCGGCTCAGTGAGAACGTGTCTCGGACTTTGAATTCAGGCCCAATTCAAATTTCAAAACATGATTCAGAAACTTTTGATTTGAAATTGAGATCCTAGAATACTGTTTTTCTTGGAATATACAGCCAAGACTGAGCTGAAATTTCATCAGGTTAGTTGTTCAGCAACCTTTAGATTTTGAGAAGTTTGTTGCTTCAAACGAAAAAAAAATGTACAAATTGCAAATGATGGAATGTTCCTTTAAGAATGGGTGTTGTGAGGGCGAGGGAAAAGGCAAGAGGCACCTTCAAACCCCCCAACCCCGACAAAAAATTTATGTTTTTTTTTTTTAGGAAATGAAACAATCAACACCTCACAACCACTACTACAAGTTCTATTAAGTCCCCCCGTATTACTTGTAAAAAATGTTTGAATACTGTCGTCTTTGAAGAGTGCTACCACTCGTTAGATGGTAACTAGCCCCCCCCCCCCCACCCAATTTATTTAATTTTGTGGTGGTCAGGGGGCAGAAAAAAATCCTGGCTACCTTCCAGCAAATTTTTTTCCACGTGTGACTTTGGTCCCTTCTTGAGAAAATCCACGTAAGGCACCTGCTCTTTATGTCGCTATTACTTACGGACTTGGTCTCTGTGTAGCTGTGCAAGGCTTCTTCTCCCTTCTCACGACCCATGCCGGACATCTTGAAGCCTCCAAATGGTACATTGGTGTCAAAAATATCGTAACAGTTGACCCTATACGAGGGGAAAACAAAATCGAGAATGATATTAAAATGAGAACTGTTAAGGGTGCTGTGAGGTCCACACAAGTATACCAAATGAAGGGTGCATCGGTTGATCCTGTACACATCACTTCGTCTTCTCTCTTGCCTCAAGATTCATGAAATCTCCCAAGTTCAAACCTGGTCGAAATTTATCACTCACTGGCCTTGTATGATAAAATTGTAGTCTCTCAAGCAGAAATGGACCAATGTTGTAAGATGAAACTGAAGCCGGAGGACATGACCAGGGAAACGGATGTGTATGTACAGTAGGAATCAAACCTTCGTTACTAAGCTCCGGGATCTCCGTAACCTGGTTACACTGCATGTTAATATTTCCAAAAGGAAGGGAGGTCGAGTTGAAGTACTTTCAACGTTAAGAATTGAGAGGGGTGGTCTTACCAAACTGTTCCTGCTCGCACACCATGGGCCACATGCATAGCCTTATCAATATCCTTCGTGAAGACACCGGCAGCGAGTCCGTAATTCGTTCGGTTGGCTCTGTCAATCACCTCGTCGATTTTCTTGAAACGAAGCAACTGCTGCACTGGTCCAAAAATCTGTTCCAAGAAATAAATCAATATACAATCTCAAAATCTATAAGGCAAACTGGATAACCAACCCACGGTACAAGATAACGGATTAGTCCGCCAACTCTGCCTCAAGTGTCCAGTAATAAACGGCTTGAAAGCCCCTGACAAGTATTATGTTGAACACTGCCTTGATATCTGACACAGAGTCAGTGAACGGCTGCTGGCTTTTTGTCTGTTCGACGTCTGATGCTGGGTCTTTCAGCGTGTAATTTGAGATCTTGGCCAATCAGGGTGCAGGGAATATGGAGCTGTTGCAGTGCATAAAAGTCGACACAATCTCAAAAGCTATGAGGGCATTGCTTGTCCTCGTGTATAATCAAACGCTGACAAGTCTTTAGTGAAAAGAAATGTACCTCTTCTTGTGCGATGCGCATGTTGTCTTCCACATCACCGAAGACAGTGGGCTCGATGAAGTACCCACGATCTCCCATGCGACCTCCACCTGTCAACAGTTTTGCTCCCTCTTGCTTGCCGCTGTCGATCAATCCAAGAATCCTGGAGAACTGTTCCGAGTCAACCTGCCAAGTGATACCAAGAAAGTTTTCAGGGTTGTGTGCAACCAATTCATCCGTTCACACTAAGAAGTACATGAAATGGTGTTTTTGCCAGTGAATTTCTGTATTAAAGACTACCGTGTGATTTGCTTGCGACTGTCAACATGGAAATCAAAGTCCTATGTAAAGCTTCTGCAGGCTTCGAAATAAAACAATCACAAAATCGGCAATGAAAAGCACTGTGAAATTGTGAGTGGCGGCTGGCTGCCATCTTTCCTGGTGCATGATCCTGTTACGGTGCAAATGCCTAACATTAGAATCCAAGAGGGAGTGTGGCCTAGTTAGCTGTAAGGGTTTGTGAGGCATGATCAGAGAGTCAGGGGTTCAAATCCTGTGTCCGTGGGCAGACCCCCTCACCATTTTTTGCCTCTCTCCACCCTGGAGTGTACATGAATACCGTCATTAGCTGGAAAGCAACCTGCGATGGACTGGCATCCCATCCAAGGTGAATAAACAAATTTCAAGTTGTCTCATTCAACAGAAACCAGAGATAAATGCTGGCCCGATGAGTCGTATCGGCTTGGAACAGCCTTATTTGCAGACCTGAGGCAAAATGATGTCTAATAATGATAATAATACAGTATTTATAGTGCGCACTTTCTCTGGAATCCATTCAAAGGCGCCAGTCTATAGATGTCTACTTCCCAAATTCTGGAAGTGTAGTCCATGACTGAGTTCTCACCTGGGGTCCTTGCTCGTTGCTGGGGTCCCATGGACTTCCTACAGTCCTCTTCTTGGTGCGTTCCACTGCGCATTCCACAAACTTATCATAGATGCTCTCCTCCACGAAGGTACGCGAGCCGGCCGTGCAGCACTGACCCTGGTTGAAGAACAGAGCAAAGTGGCTTTGCTCCACAGCATATTCAACTGAAAGACAAATGCATTTAATGCATTACTATTGTCTTCACACATGATTGCGGAAAGAAAGATGACATTTAATTTGTTTGATCCCCATTTTCTTTGTTGAATATCTTGTTTTTGATATATGCAGCATTTCAGAAAGATATTGCAATGTGTTTGTAAGAAAAATAAAAACAAAGTCAGATGACAAACCTCTGCTGGTAACAAGTACAATTTCTCAACTCCATCAAAATCCATCCACCCATTTTGGTGGATTTTGGGGGACATGGTCCTGCTGGCCTGGTTTGACTAAATGTTGATGGAGTATGATGGACTTGGGCCTGGAGGCCTGAAGCAGTGCTGGGGGAATCTGATTGATTTTGCCTAGCATCAAAGGAATTTAATGCATTGCTGTGGTCCAATGGTTACGGTGTTCGACTCGTGTGCCGTGGTACATGGGTTCGAATCCTGACCGTGGGAACATGGTGCTTGTGCTCTTGAGCAAGGCACTTTACCATTATTGCTTCGTCCTTCGGATGGGACGTAAAGCCGTAGGTCCCGTGTGTTGTGTAATGCACATTAAAGAACCCAGTAACACTTATCGCTAAGAGAAGGGGTTTCCCCCGGTGTTTCTGGCAGTGGCTGCAATATGCGCCGCAGCACCTTGTAAACCCTTATAAGGTGCTGCATAATGGGTCTCACATTTCTCATAAACTTTATTTACCTTTCTTTAATAATAGACATATCTCCAGCGCCTTGAGTACCTAATAGTTGGTAGATACGTGTGCTATATAAGACTCCGATATTATTATTATTATCAAGTACTACTGTGTTGTACATGTGTAAGATATGTGTACTAAGTCCATCAATAGCCACCAGTGGATATTGTCAGTGGTGGACTTCATTATGTCAGGTATTGGTTCAAGCGGAGTGAGTGATAGATTTTGGCGGATTTGGTCCTCTACTTAGTAAACAGAGTTAGGGTTAATGATATCCAAGGACATTTCAAAGTGAAATCTATCACGCGCCTGTTCTCTAGATCAGGTGCATCCCTCTCACACAGTCACACTTTGGGCTAGTGTTGATTCAACTGATAATGAACCAGTACAAAGTGATATGTTGCCCACTGGCTCTCACAAGGAGGCCCAAGACCACCATCTACAAGTTTGTGCACAGAGTCCATAGCTTATGAATGATTTCTTGGCAATACTCACGGTCGCAGTCGTCAAAGATGATGTTGGGGCTCTTGCCACCCAACTCAAGGGTCACACGCTTCAAGTTGGATTTGCCAGCAGCCTGCTGAATAACATGGCCAATCTGTCGATCAATGATAACATCGAGGAAATTATAATAAACTAGTGGTGGATTAATAATAATAATCAGCATTTAAGAACGCTCTTATTGGTAAACTAAATCACAGCGCTTACAGTATTATTACATGTAGTACCCCTGATCATTGGGCCAATGAAACATTCCAAATACCATCTCAGCTCCTTGGGGAGTATACAGCTTGATGCTGCCTGTCAGGCGCAAGCAAGCTAATTCAATCACAATAACCATCTCTGCCCTCACAAGTACCCATTTACTCTTGAGTGGAGAGAAACAATGCGTGACAAAGTGCCTTGCCCAAGGGCACACGCACCATAACCCCTGGCTGGACTCGAACCCACAACCCGCAGAATTACCCGCAGACCACAAATTCAATGCCCCTAACCACGAGGCCACGGCACATTGATGGAGCTGGCTAATCGACCAAGGCAAGATAAGCCATCAAGTGGCTGATACATCTGCACTGGTAGTCGGGAGGCCATGGTTTCCACTTCAACCCAAATCAACAAAACAAATGAAGAATTTTTTTTCCCAACAAGCTCTCACATAACACTGAGCCTACATACTGATTGGATTTCTAACTGTTACCCAGTTTTGTTCGTCGTTTCTGATATGTTCCTGTGCCTGAGAGCCCATCAAACGTGCGATTCATAAAATTAATCACTGAAGGAGACTGGACTGTATGAAAATATCTAATCAGCTTTGCAGTTTTCCAGAAATTGTGAAAAGCCACCCAAGTTATCACGAAAATTCCCAAACTCGGATTGTCTCTGAAATTTTAAGTGACTTTACCTCCGTGGATCCAGTGAAGGCAACTTTGTCAACATCCATGTGGCTGGCAATAGCTGCTCCTGCAGTAGGTCCATATCCTGGTAGGACGTTCAACACACCAGGTGGGAAGCCGGCCTGAAGAATAAACAACATTCAAGATTGTTTCAAGAGTTCACAGTTACCTCCAATGATTATTCCACTGTGTGCTCTCATTAATCTTAACTCTCTAGGAAAAGGAAAGTAGGGACTGTTCCACATCCTCAACAATCCTCCATTATGTTATTTTAGACCCATTCTCGCTATACCGAACAACCGCTGTTACGAATATTTTCCCTGGATCCCACGATGTTCGCTATAGCGGTGATCCACTGTAATGGCTCTCTCCTCAATCCAGCAAAACTGGGAGTAGTTGTAATTGTCTTACAACAGTTGTAATTGTCTTACAACTTGTAAACATCTGCACATCCATGACCTCAATACATTACCTACCTCATGCTCAGAGTCTTAATATTATTTGTTGTATGAACCCAAGGAGATGATATTCCAAATCTGTGCAGTGATATGCCCAGGAATAATGGGCCACATGCAAGTTCAGCCAGCGTTCGCATGTGTAATCTCCTGATGTAAATCACATGAGCCGTTGTCAACCAATTGAATTCACAATCTGATACCATGGCATAACAACATGAAACGTAAATATGGACTATGAATTACCTCCTTGGCAAGTGCGGCGATGTACAGGCCGGTCAATGGTGTCTGCTCAGCCACCTTCATCACTACGGTGTTGCCTGCGGCCAGAGCAGGGCCAATCTTCCATGCTTGCATCAGCAGGGGGAAGTTCCACTGCAAAAGGCATTACAAGAAATCTTTAATTACGCCAATTTATTGTCTCAAATCATACATACTTCCTCCAGAAGTAAATGTCCATGTTATTTTGCATTGATACTTACTACAGGCATGCAACTGCGAATTTAGAAAAAACGAGGAAATTCCAAACCATACAAGACTTTGTACAGTATTTTTTCAATTTGTAATGGCATTTGTGAGAAGTAAAAAACGAGGAAATCAGCGGATCCGAGGAAACGTTTCATGCCTGTTACTACCAACCTGAACAGTCCTGAATCCTCCAATTTTAATACGATTTTGAACCCCCCCTAGGGAGTTTTTAAGTCATTGTTTTCCATCCTTGTTTTCTGTAGTCAGTGTCAGGAAATGATAACGATTATAGATTCTGACCAATTTAAGTTTCACAGGCAGAACTTAAAAGCAGTTGAAAACCTGATCACACACTTGTGCAAAGCAGTATGATCTTGTTGTCCTTTACACCCGAGGACTTTGGACAATAGGTTTCCTGTGATAACCATAACCCCAAGACCTGAGCCAAGTCCTCGGGAGGTTTCCATTTACGAACCTTATAGGACATGTCGAGAAAAAGTTAAAGTCCAAATTTAGGAACAAAAGAAAGGAACAATAAGGGGTCCTCATATAAAGTGTAGTAGTGTCTCCTTTAAGCCTCCCTCTTTGGCTGGCAATTTCAACAAGGCCAGCCCTACAGTCAACTAAATCAGGTGACTGTTTTGAACAGTTGAGTGTACCCTGCCTTCATAAAGCAGGATTGACTGGCTGTGATTGTTATGAAACCAGAAATAGCTATGCCTTGGCTGTAGGCGATTGATAAGCCAGCTAAGTCACCTGCTTTTGTCTGTTGATGGAATTTGACTGTCACAGTGCCTACAAGAACTACAATCTGACTGTTGGCTACTTGCCTGTGTGAAAGGCATGGCAGGGTTGAATTTTTGACTGTCTGTGACTGATCAAACAAAAGGAGGATGGCTCAAATTATGAGAACGACACACAGTGCCATCTTTAATAATAATAGATAATAGTGATGAATTTTATGTTTTTTTCAGCTAAGACTAGAGATCTGTAAGTAGTTCTTTGTAAATGTACTCACTGGAATAATCTGGCCACACACTCCAACAGGTTCTCGCCGGGTGTAACAAAAGAAATCCCCACCTAACATGTGAGATTCAAGGAATTAATAAAGAGAACTAATAACTGCCTGTTACATTTTAGTCAAGAAATTAGAGTAACATTATATTTGAAGATACAAAACTACAAAATCAAAGGATTCACACTGAAATCCTTTAAGATTTGTTTAAAGTATACTGTCCTGATTTGAACTTGAGTTGGCATTTTTAACAATCGTTACCCACTGCCAATTAATATAAGCACCTGCTGATACTGGATTTTGTTGGATTGGATTAGGGTTAAACTAGACAAACTGCAAAGTTACCAAACTAAGTCATGACCCTGCTTATCAAAATCCACTGCTCAGGCAATGTGCTTGGAAATAATGGGCGAGAATGAATCACAAGATATGCACTGTTATGTACACCCCATTACATTTTGGTTTGTAACCTGTTTATAACTAAGCAATTATGTGTTCTGATTTTGTCCTAGAAACTGGGGCAAGAAGTGATTGTTATTACAATAAATTGTCCTCAATTTCCATTCCATTTCTATTACCTGTTTACACAAACCCTTAGAATTTGTTTACATGCAGTCCAGACTTCGAATACACACATTGGTTATAAATATAATTCTATTATGAAACGCCCAGCTCCAACATGATAAAGCAGTTTTTCCACAACAGTGCACAGGGGCGCGGAAATACTCCAACAGATAATAGTATCAGAATGTCAACAACAAAGTGTATAGCAGGTGGTGAAATACTAAAAAAAACCAAAAAAAACAGTACTGTATGTATTGGGGTCCAATGAGCGTGCACTCTCAGATCTGATACACCGTGCCCTCTGGAGACATGCAGACAATAGGAAACAAAAGATTGTATACGCCTCCACAGGGCAATTTCTATAGATGAATACGTCTCCACAAGGTTTTCACAAAATAGATATATGGATTTTACTCAAAAACTAGGAATTTCCAAGCTATGTTGATATTTCGCAAATGGAAGAGTTTTAGAAAAGGGATATTACATGTATGTCCAAATTTTAGCTAAGGAAATTAATTCTGGTTAAAATAAAAGCATTTGTAAACTACACTTTCAAACTCGAAAACTTTAGTACACGAGAACAAAGGAATGTCTCCACAAGGATACAAATTCCAGTATGAAAGTGCTTGCATTATATTAAACACTTAACCTTTCATATTATCAAAAAAAATAAAAAAATTCTACACTTACCAATGGGGATTGTCTTTCCCTCAATCTTGTCTGCCCAACCAGCGTAGTACCTACAAGTGGATTATTGGTAATTCTATAAAAGTCAGTCCAAAGTGTGACATTTTTTCCTATCTCTGTTACCTTGGTACATGTACTTTGTAGTTTGCCGTTATAATATCATTAAGAATAACAATGTTTTTTATATGTTTGGTACATGTATCGGTACATGTAGGTAGCTTGCTATTTATAATAAGGGAATAAATGTGTGCTCCGGAGGTTTTTATCACTCTGTTTAATACCACTTAGAGTCTGGGTGCTGATAATTACCCGAGCCGGAGGCGAGGGTAATTATCAGCACCCAGACTCTAAGTGGTATTAAACAGAGTGATAAATACCGACGGAGTACATATTTATTCCCATTCATAAATACCTTTTCGGTAAAAAAAAATCATATAATTCGTTAAAAACATCCCGATTTTGTTCAACAAATTCACTTTATGTTTTTTGAATCATCCCTCCTGCAAAATAATGGAGTGTTCAGCTGGCGAGTAAGATGAAAACAACCCTTTTATGGAGATTGACGCGCGCGTATCATGTTCTATGCGATGTCGCGCAGAACGCACCTGGCGCGTTGCGTTTTGAATTTAGAACTATAAAATTCTAACTCCCTAGTAGTGTTGCGCATGCCTACGTGAGGATTGTGAACGTTCAACCAATGAAACGATAAGAGGCACTGGATTTTTAGGAGTCCACATTTTATTGTGACACTGGAAAAGTGTTTAAGACCAGCTAGCCATGTCTTTATCATCCGTTTAATACCGGCCACGTGACGGGCTCTCGACCAATAGGAATGGCTAAACTGTCTGAGGTATTTATGAATCACTATTAAAGGAAGACTGCATTAATTAAAGTAGTACATCAGAATTATAGAATCATATGTGATATGTAACAGGGACTCAAATTTATATAATGAACCTTTATGTTTCTTTATGACCATTAACTTTGGAAGCATACCTTAAAATATGCAAGTCATTTCATTGTGACTGACGATGCACTTTTTTCACATTGATGAAACTTCCCTATTTGTAACCCTAGGCTAGGGTCTGTTATTAAATTTATTGTCCCTTTTTTGTGAATTTTGTTCTGCATGTATTTTCTCAATCGAAAACCTCATCTTAGAATATATAGGATTAAAAATTCAGAGCTTTCAAACCGAGGTTTATAAGGAAAATACATTAAAGATATAGTACTGACGCACCGGTAGCACTTGATGGTCAAATCAAGGTCAGCGTAGAATGCAGCAGAGTAGGGCTTCCCATTGTCCAGGGTTTCCAAGCTCTGCATGAGAGGAAGCAAAACAGGTGATGCAGTCACGCAACTGACGATCATAAATTCAACTATCACAGCTGTTTAAAATATCTGACCTTGAACTTCCAACACAGGAATGCGCCACACACGGTCCCTCTAAAACTAATTTATCTCTGGCTTTTGCTGTAAGGATTTTGGATGTGTTTATGAGTTTCATCCGTGCCAGATACTCTAGGTTTAATTCTGCTGGATTACAGTGCCTTCTATAGGACAAAGTATGCAATGAGGGGCCAGCTCCACAAAAGGAATTTTGTTTTTAAACTTCGAAAAAGAAAAGGGAAAAGAAGAAAGGGTTATATATCATGTCTGAAAAAACTTTTACTCCAAAAATAAATTCCCTTCAATATCGAAATTAAACTTTAAAGAAATGCATCACCACTTAACCACTATAGCACAAAATTGGCAAATGGTGTGCGTTTGTTTATGGTGTAAATCAAGGACACACACGTGCAACATCATCAATGAATCGAGGACAGGAACCAAATCGAGGATGACCTCGATTAGAATACGTGTACAAAACCAATGAGAGCTGTTGCGAAAAAGTTGAGGTACAAACATGACAAAGGAAAAGGGAAGAGAAACAATAGAAAACCCTCGATTTACACCATAAACAAACGTGCTGGTACACCCAGACTTGTTTCACATACCTAGTGTGGACTTTCCTTTCTTTTCGTGTAGTTAAGGAACACCAGTGGAAAAACTCATTTTTCTCAAACTGTGAAAACTCTTACAACCCAATTTTTTTTCAATGATTCCCTTTAGTGTTTCTCTTCATTCTGCTACAGATAAACCTAACCCAAAAATGCCTCTAAACCTGTTTTCCAGAAATGGGGAAACACTGTGTGGACGTGGGCAAGTCCACACTTCGTCGCTGCTACCTACATTATGTGGACGTCTTTTGTTCGGAAGTCCACACTGCGTATGTAAGACAAGCTCACATGTATGTTTGTGTGTGTGCTCACGAGTCGATCGCCCCCGAAACGGGTGAGGCAAAGCAAAGCCCTGTCTTGCTTGCATGCTTGATAAGTTTGTGGGTTTTTTTTGGGGGGGGGGAATTTAATGGTGAGGGGGTTAAAACATTTTTAACATGAAAAGTATTAAAGTCTCTGGCTTACTGCCAAGTAGACACGGTCTCTCTCAATCAGGTCAGCCAGCCTGTTCAAAAGAGTACCGCGAGTTAAAGCATCACATGTACGCCATGGTGACCCAAGGGCAAAGGCCTGGTTGGCTGCCTCCACTGCCTTGTCAACGTCAGCCTGAAATACAAATAAGCATACACAAATAAATCATATCAATGCAAAACACTCATTGTGCATGTCATTCTCAATAAAACTTGCTGTAGGATAATTGAGCAATCGTTCTCCTTCTTAACATCTTGCTTAACAGATGATTTTTGTTGAGCCAAGGTATAGGTCATTTGCCTGGAGTTTTGGGAAATATTTAGTTTTATTCATGTAATGTGTTTTAAATTACATCTATTCAGTACTTCACACTCATCACAAATAAGATGCCAATTTTTTTTTTTTATAGATATATTTGCCATTCATGTACACAATGTACAACCACACCTACATTATACAATGCATGTAGTACTACACATGTGCATGCACATGGACTATTTCACTTTCATTTCAAGGGTTGCATATTTTCTGTAAATGTTACTTTCGGTTTCAGTACAACCTTTTGTTCACAAAGTGACTTAAAACTGGTCATGCAATAAATAGGCCTACGGTACATACATCGTGTACACGTACAATTTTATTTTGAGCCAGAACAGATGATAGCCTGCATACGTGTACATGTCATTATATTATCCTTCCATAGTTGTTGGAAATAATATGCACTGTCCAAATTTACTGTGCAATATTCTGATAGATTGTATCGTTTAACGTTGCACAACAGGACACATAAACATATATACATGTTCATGTGTGCACTAGTGTAACAAAAAATGTGTACAGATGTGATTACATACCTTATCAGCCTCTGCAACATCACAGATCTTTTCCTCAGTGCAAGGGTTGATAGTTGGGAAGGTCTTGCCGCTGACAGCATCGCACCACTCGTTGTTGATGAAGATCTATATATTCAAAGCACAAGAAGCATACTTAAACATAAGATTATTTATTTCTGGTATTAAAACCAAGGATTCCTCAAAAGCGTCCTAGGCACTGTAGACTCTCACAAACCGAAGAAACCTGTAGAGAGAAGACAATGAGAAGAAATTACAGCATTAGCGGTGGGAGGAAAACCCCAGAAGAATATTCTGGGGAAAACCCATGGAATCAGGTAGGGACTGAAAACCCAATCCGCATGTTCAGATGTTGGTCCGAGTGGGATTCAAACCCGAGTCACAGCGGTGGAAGGAAAGTACCGCTACGTCAACGTGCCAGCTAACTGAACAAAACCAAACCAAACCTACTACATGTACTATGTGACAACAAAAAATGAAGTAAAAATTCTCTGCAATCTCACTCAACTGTACCCTAACATCATCCTTGTGTACAAGAATTTTAGACCAAATTTGGGGGCAAGTCTTGTTAGAAAAGTTCACTGGGAAAGAATGTAATGAAGTATCCAGACTCCACTTCTCGGGTTGTATACAAGTCTATATGAGTTGCATGCATTTTCTGACAAAATTGGAAATGTTTCTTAGTCCCAAATTCATGTCTTTTCAACATATTTGCAATGAGATATTCAGATAATATATGATGAAAAAAGTGGCATCAAGATGCAACATTCTTTCCGTTCACTGAAACAAAACAAAAATGTTACTGGACTGAAATTATCTTTTTGGGGACTGAAATTATCTTTTTGGGGACTGAAATTATCTTTTTGGGGACCTTGGGAGGATATAAAGAAAGGTTTCCAAAAATGGGAATAGTAGGCCTACTAGGGCCTACAGTTAATCCTCACAGAGGATAACATATTTAAATATTTAAATAGTTCAGAGACAAATTAGAATACAATATGAGTATGACATTTATCAGTTGTTATTCGGTATGCCTCAATGCTTCTCCATTTAACGTAACAGTATTACAGCAACCAATTGCTGGCAAATTATTGAGCTTTCCATTCACCTTGTCAGGTCATGGAAGCTCGGATGAAGGACAACAGGGTCAAGGCTGTTATTTCTATTGTCAAGGTATGACTGGGCATTTGGAGTATTGTGTGTTGTGCACAATACACTACTTATTCTACTGTGTATTTCCATCCTCATGCATGCCATGGAGGTTGAATTCTAATCCTACCTTCATGGTACAGTGCTTCACATTCCAGACACCATTATGTTACCCCTAAAGGAACTTTATGCAACAGTATTTTGTCCTTTTTAGCATTGATCAGCAAATCATGCTGCTACCGGTAGTGTGCTAAATGTGTAAATTGCTAACTTATGTACTGAACACTCGGACGGCCAGCCCGGTGGATTTGGGTCGTTTTACTGGAAGTACTTGTATCACAAGCCAACAACGAGAAAGTCTGAATATTTTAACAACCAAAGACACCTCTTGAACTTAAGTTGAAGTTATTGGAACATCGAAATATGTTTGTATTACACTTTTGACAGTTATTAAGATAAATAAAACATTGGCAGTAAAAAAAAATATGGATCCACAGCAAAGAATGGAATGGGCCACTTGATGAGACTGACACAAAATTTGTATCTCCAACACTGGAAAGAAAATCCCTCCCATTTCAACTACATGTATGGTACAGAGCTGCATGTAGCAAAAATAATCTAGATCATGACCAAATGTTATTTGCCTACAAGTACAATCAACTCTGCGCCCCCGACTTGGTATGATTCACATTCAACAATTTTGACCAGACATTTACAAAGTGGCATAAAATTACTGCCATAAAGTGGCAAATTTATACTGGCCTTCGGCCAACAAAAAAAACCTTTCTGCCTCCGATTACATGGCATTTGAAAATAGGGTAGGTACAGCAGGTGGGGATTTTTTTTTGGGGGGGGGGGGCAATTTTTTGTGTACGAACATATGGGGGATTGTCTGCGTGTAGTCAAGGGTAAAAGGCACCGGTAGTAAATGGTTTTGGGTGTTTTTTTCATGTTTTTTTCCTCACTTTTCCCATAAAAAAATCAGAGTAGGGGCCAGCTGTCAGAATAGGGTAGGTAGGGAAACCGGAAGCAGAACTATTTTTTTTTGGCCTTATTAATGGTCTGAGTAATTTTCCGCTTAAAACGCTTGAATTACTGTTGTGAAAAAAAAAAACCTTGTTGTGAAGCAGGACCGGTACCCAGATTAAAAAAAGTATGTAATGAGTGTTAAAAAATACCAATAAAAAGGCAACAGATATTGAGAAAAAGACAGACAGGACACCAACAAGATTATGAACCTGTTTTGGTTTTCAAAAGGCAGTGGATATATTTTGCCGTAAGGGCCCTGTGATTGGCTGTTCTGATGGAAAAGCTAGGCTATTCCCACTCTTGTTAGTCTTCCCAAAGCCTCCAAAATCCTCTTTGCATAGTTAAAGGATTGAGGCTGTATGGCAAAAATGTGGCAGTTCAAGTTGATTTTGGAGGATGCACTGTGTCTAGGTCTAACGTTAGGCTGTAACGTACCGTGTGCTGTTCATGCTTTGCCACGTATACGTTTAGCATTAAAAAAGGACTGTAATTTGTCAAGCTGCCACAGTCTATTGGATAATGAAATAGTATAGAAAGATCCCAGTTTCAAATCCACCAATGCCCAGTTTTCATCTACACGCACTTTTCACCAAATTTATAGTTGGGATAGTTTGAAGTTCAGGGAAAATATGAGTCCGAGAGTCTAAAGTCATGACGTACTGCAAACACATAAATTGAAAGTTGGCGCACGACTCTGCCATGCCTGTATACTTCTGCACAACCTTCCTCCTGCTTCAGGTGTGGCAGCGTTAAAATTCAGAAGTGGACTCATCAGTTCAAGTTGCCACAGACCTATAAATCTGAAAACTTAGCAGTGCCCTGACCTGAAACTGTGGAATTTACCATGTTGAATGATGTTGCTACAAAATGTTTTACAAATTATAAGAAATAATGATATGAAAGCTGTGCACCTTTGTATAATTTTAGTCACAACATAATAAAATTGACTGGCATTCTGCGATACAAATTAAAGGGGAAATTAATCGCTCTCTGCATGTTGGTGTTTATGCAAGTACCTCACGGTTACCTAATGTTAGGCCATACAGCAAGTTGACAAAAGTGCATTTTAAATGCAGTGAACTGTTCATAAAGGAGGCGATGATTATATCTTTGGGTTAATCATCATCCCAGTCATCCCTTCCACCCCCCCCCCCCTTCTTTGGTGACGAGTTCACATTGAGGAGTTCCACTGGGGAAAAAATAAATATAAAAACTGACCCCCAAAATAGAGCAATATTGATTAAAATTTGTCGAGGGAAATTGGCCAGAAAATGCCTCAGATTGCACCACAGAGCATCTAGAATTCAAAATTTTAGAATCCAATTCTCCATAGACTTTGTACACAACCAAAGAAGTGGCGTCTAGATGAAACAATTTACCTTGTTGAAGTGAATATCTGGACTGGTTTGCGGTTGAGGCAGTGCCGCACTTGACAGCGGAGCACAGCGGGCAAACTGACCGCTGCGTCCCAGCGTCGACACCAGGCGATTTGCTGCTCGTAACATGTCTGATGATTAGGATTTTCACGTCCAAATAGACGCTTCAGATGCCAAGCTGCGGATAACTTCTGGTCGACTCTGATACCTGAATAAAAACCCGTCTTATCCAGCGGCACAAAATATCCCACAAACCCAGCTGTACAATGCGTACTGTACTGTACTTGCGGTCAGCACCAAAGATCATAGCCAGGCAGGGTGACCGTAATGTCATGGCCAAATTTTGCTAAATGCACTTGAAAAATCTGTCAGATTTATCCAAAATCTGCCAAATTCCCTTGAATTCCTCGAAATACAACATAGATACTTAAAATCACATGCAGATGTTGTAATTTTGCCTTAATTAAGGTTCAAATTACATTATAAACAAACTATAGTTAGATAAAGGTTTTTATGAAATTGCGTAAATAACTCGAAACGAGGTTCCGGCGATGAAATATCCGATTCCCAGTGAACCTCGAGCAGTACTAGACCGAGTAACTAGGACTCTACAGATCTTTTTTTTAACATTTGGACATGGCCGGGCGATAGATCGCCCAATGCATGTCCAAATGTTAAAAAAGCGATCTGTAGAGTCCTATAGTTACTCGGACTACCTCAGTACATAGACAAGGCAACCTGTCCTAATTTGCAAGGGTTTGTTTGAAAAGATTGAAGCTTTTTAAAACACAAATCTACCTTTTTTTCAAATTTGCTATGTTTTTCTGTCAAACAACCATTTCTGAAGAATTCTGCCAGAAATCTGCCAAAAAATCCGTTCTGTCAAATTTTCTGTCCATTTAATTTTTTTTCACAAAAAATCTGTCAAAGTTAGCCGAAAATCGGCTAAAACGGTCACAACAATCATGGGCTCTATTATGTACGTTTTGGGTATGATCTTTGGTCAGCACCCGTACCGTACTTTTGAGGTCAGTGCCGGCCCCCGCGCGCACTGCATGCCAGAATCAAAACAAAGATCTATCGTAATTATAAAAGGGCGCCACCACTGCACGCGCTTGACACATTCTGCACCGAACTTTTAACAGTTTTAGTTGTGGCACCCATGCTGCATTGGCGTCACCGAAATACTTTTATAAAAGTAAAGAGGGGATTCAGTCCGCCTGGACAACAAAAATTTGATAAAAACGATTTCTGATCACCGTCTCAATCTTCAGGGAGGGAATGATCATTGCCCCACATGCACAATAATCTCAAATTGATCAGATTTATATTTTTTCCCGTCGTTTCATGCTCCCCGGTTAAGACATTTTTTGTTTGTCCTTTCATGCTCTCACTCGCCCACTCTATTCCACCTCCTCCATCCCCTCACCTACTGGTTCTCCTTTGGTTTCCCTCATTCCATACCCCAATCTCGATTTTCTTTTTTACTTTCCTTTCTGCAGTGTGTTTTCTGTCTGTTTTTTTTTAATGTAATTTTGCCTTTAAGACGATTCTACCACTTAATATCATTGGACACACAAGACATATTCCTTTAAGTTTCTATTATTTATTCCTAAAACAAATAATTAACCAGGGCTAGCCAGCATAATCATTATGAATCAATAATATAATCAATTACATTTGGGGTCTCAGTTTCTTAATTTGGGAGCTGTGTTGGTGAAAACCTATTGAACAGCAAACCCTCCAACTTGAACATTAAAACACCAGATGGAGAAAAAAAAATAGAACACACAACAAGCATTTGTTTCAGATAACATTCCCAGCTGATGCACGGAGGGAAAGTAATTTGCATTTATCTTGCACAATTGTGTCCACTCGTGTAAAGTTCGACCATGATCACAATTTGAATGTACGTGAAGCAATTCGGAAGATTTCAATACCATACTTTTTTTCTGGAAAAAAGTATGGAAAGTATCCTTGCCCAAGGCTGTACCGACAGCAGACTTCGAACAGGCATTCATGAAGCTCTCACATCCAAAATGCAAATCAATCATTCTCCTGAATGATTTAGGCTCATCCATGATTCAATGATTAATTTACTTCAATCTGAATGATTGAAGGTACTTCACAGAAAATATGGATAATATGTCAAGACTTTAACTCTGTATTTTCAACAATGTCAGGAATTTAGAAACGTCTTGGTCTCAATTTCATTGATCATCCTGCGACCGTAGAAGTCTCTGTACTCCTCAGGTAGTTCCTCAAGACACTTCAAAGCTCGGTTCAGAATCTGAAGTGCTCTAGCTGCCGCTTGTGGGTCCTTGTTGCCATAAGGATCTTTGTTGTCATAGCAACTGGCTTCTAGATGTCTGAAGAACACATTGACAGCGACGCTGAAGTCCAAGGATTGCACATTGTGAAACCAAAGAGCTATAGTTTAAAAAAAGAAGAATCAAAGAGAAAAAATGCATCAAAGGAAACAATTCATCCAGTTTTTTAAAAGTCTTGTTACTTCTGCCAATGATCAGATGATGTTTTGCTGTAACAATCCACACCTGTTTTGGACACCAAACTTCGGAAACACCATATTTACTGATTTTTCTCAGAGGAACAAGTGTCGACCACACTATAACAAAGAACTTTACATAGACAAAACATCCCCATAACATTTGTGAATACATGTACAAGTTTTCTCTTTTAACGGCAAGGGGGACTTTCTAAAATAAAGAACCAGTAACTTGCTTCAATTTGTTTAGCTGCTTACCGGGAATGAACAGTACATCACCAGGCTTCAGATGACACTCCATTGGCCTAGCATGTCTGAAGGCAGGGTACCTGACCAGGTCAGGATTGTCAATGTCTAAAACTGCTGATTTGTCACCTAGACATCAAATAAAATTATCAAAAGTGACAATAAAGCAATCGAAAATTGAAAGGAAAAGTTAATTCAACAAATTGCTCCCCATGACCCATATGGATTATGTCAGCAAAAACATAAGTAGATACCTGTGAGATACAAGTAGGTTGCATCGGAAGGACTGAACAGCACAACCCTCTTGTGACCACTGATCTGTATTAAGAGGTTGTCCATGATCTGTAAAAAATAACAAAAAAATTCAGTATCATTCCTTTTTAATGGTAAATAATTGTACTTGATAAAAACAAAAGAGCTTGACATAACAGTTTGGTAATGCATAACTAAGTTTACCTGCATTTCATAATGATAGACCAAACTTAACAAAAATACTTCAGCAGTTAAGATGTTTAAGGGTTTGATTGTTTTTCTGTAATTTATTTCTAGTACCTTAGTAAAGCTTCCAAATACAATTTTAATCACTGTAATCAACACACAGGATTATATAATTTTAAAATAATTTCATGGATGATGCAACCTACATCATAGTGGGTCCAGAGCTGAACTCCAGCAGATCCCAACCTCAGAACACTTGAAAAAAAGGTGTTGTCTTTGAAATACTGCGGAATGATCACATCAGGTGCCAGGGCTGGAAACTGCTTGGCTATATCCGTAGGCTCCTGAAGTCATTGTGAAAAAATAAGAATGACATGGTCAAAAGCAAATAATATGATCAATATCTATTTCTTCCTTTTAACTCTAACTCCCTAGGTTTGTATGTAGGAACCTTCCTTACTCCTTCACAGTGAAAGAAATCAAAACTTGCTTTACAATTGAAAACTTCTTTCAGTATTAAACAATTCATACATGTAAAATTAAAAATGATGGTGATTTACCTTCCTGGGGTCATTTCCAAGTGCACGGAAGTAATACTTCTCATCCTATGATGGAGAAAAAAAACAACAAATTTCCTGTGTGATTAATAACAAAGCAGGGGTAGGCCAAGAGATGTTAAAATCCAGGGTGCAAATGCAGTCTTTTCCACCGATAATTTAAACTTTAGTCAAATATTTGTCAGATCAATTTTCATATAACTAACATTGTCTCAAAGCAGTGTACGCATTCTTCTCCAAATCACGCCAACTGCTATTAAAATGCCAGAAAACTGATTGTAATACATGTAATAGTAATAGCAACCCTAATGTCGAGACCTCTGCCTTTGTACTTGAAATGCTTCATTACCCTATCCCCTTGGTGGAGATTTTACTATCTGTATATGTACCTACTGGTTCAAAGAAGAATTCATCGTGTGTGCACTCAGATGCTCGTCTCACAAACTTGTCAAAGGGTAAAGTCCTGAAAAAAGAAGAAAAAAGAATTAATCAATCTCAAATTAGGCACTGACCTAAATGGTATTCGATCATGTCTATAAAGGTAAAATCTGTGTGGTCATTTGCACCATTAGCGGGATACTGAAGAAACTGGAATCAAGCCTAAGCACTAGGATGTGTCAAAAGATAACACTTGATTAATTGGGACTAGGAATAAGAGCGTTTGGACACGCGGGCAGATGCAGATATGCAAAAAGTATACCTTTTGTTTTGCAACTGTACTCAGACTCAAGACTTTAGTGCAAATTCTTTTGTACTTTCGCATACCCACTCCTGTTCCATTTTGTCAAAATACTCAGATTTCTTGTTTAAAATCTACATGATAATTAACCCTTTAGTCACTGTACCGCCCGAAACTGCACTGCCTTGTACTCACTTTAGCGCCTGAAACTGCCCAAGCACTCCATGGTTTGATTGATTCTTCAGTAAATAAACTCAATGAAAAACAATGTATTATACTACAGGTGCTAAGGCCAGGGTTAAAAGCCAAAGTACTCAGAGTGCTCTATCTAGTCAAGCATACCTCCTTATATTTCAGTATACTTGTCAGATTTGAAAAAGGACTCCTTTGTAACATTTGTTGTGCTTTCTGTACCTGTATGCATAATTCTTGTTTACAAAGTCCATCTTGGCTGTAGGACTGACATGAACTTTGACCTCTTGTGACCCAACCTTCTCGCACAGGTAGTCTTCTGTCCATTTGGATTTGCAAACACCGATGTCTAGCCCTCGTAGGATTGCAGGTTTCCTCTGTTAGAACACATTTGAAAGAATATAAAGAATGTATGGACAGTCAAACATTTAAGTTATTGAATAACACGTACATGTAGGCCTACAACTTATTTCCTTACCCTAGTATAGTCCGAGTGACTTGGACCCAACTTATCGCCTTTTTAACATTCGGACATGGTCTGGCGACCTACTATCGCCAGACCATGTCCGAATGTTAAAAAGGCGATAAGTTGGGTACAAGTTACTCGGACTAACCCTAGTAGTATACACGTAAATAATGTTATAAGAAACTGTGCATGTACTGCTCGACTCGGAACAGAACGCAACCAGTCATATGAAATTATGAGTACAACAGGGTGTGGGTATTTTACGGAACTTGCAGAACTCTGCGGAACTCTGCAGAACTAGGAATATAACAAAATATTAAGATTAAATGCTGGCTTTAAAAGTACAGCAAGGGCCCAATCTCATTCTTAAGTCCCAAAATCCTCATAAATCTGCCCTTAAAATAAAAGATATCCCACCATTGTACAACAAGGAGGGTACCGAAGTTCTAGCGCTCCACTCAGAATAATTATTATGTACTACTACTGACTGATGTGACTAGTGAGCATGCAAAATAAAGGGAATCATGATAAAATTCGACAAACCTTTGGATAAACCTCTAAATTGAAGAAGTCTTTGTTGACTTTTTCGAAAATGTTAACATTTTCAGCCATTTTCTTTTTGACTAGGCCAACTTAATTTAGTAGTTCCCCTATGATTTCCAACATGCTTGGTCTTATTCCTCCATGGTCAGCAGCATACTTACACTGACATGTCTTGCAATTTTTTGCAGCTTAGCAGTAGTGCGCCACCTATAGTTTGAAATTAATGATCGATTCTACAGAGGTTTTATTCATTGATTAATAATTATTGGTCAAAAAAAGGGAAAATAAAATGCAAAGGGTACAAAAATATTTCAAAACTTCAATTTTGTTTTGAAGTGTCGATGACTAGCTCATTTAGAACAGTAGTTATTGAAAAATTGTGTTGTTCACATAATACATGTTGACCAGCCTGAGAGAAAATCCAAAATGGCAGCCTCCTGTCGCAATTTCGTACGGCGTTCTATTCAAGTAAATAATTCACAAAATATCACCAAATCATTGGTTTTACAAATTTCAAGTTGCACCAATGGTTCCAAGAGATGCATCTGTTCAACTCGTCGGCTCTCTGGCTGTAAAGCGAACTTTCAACATGCGGTAAATCGCAATCGAATTGTTAATAGCAAGTTGTCGCCGATCCGTCCGTCATTTCCGTGTGCTGTCACAACAACACGACCGTATTCGAATGATGGTGGGGACGACGCGAAGAGAGTGAAGCCAGTCTTCGTTGCCATTCCGAATCCGTTCAAAGTCATCAGGAACAAAATTTATTTCTGGATGATTAGGTCCTATTTTGATGCAGAGTTTAGAGCTGAAGACTTCATTTCGGGAGCTAAACAGGTAAATTCTTTGTCATCAGCCTGATCAGATCATGTTTGTTTTATTTTTGTTTTGGTTTTATTAATTTTAATTTCACTCTTACTTCATCTGAATCACTATCACTAGTATCAGTATCACTGCCATCAGTTCTGTTGATGTGATGATTTGTAACAAAATCATAAAAATGAAGTATGGATTTATGTACATATATTATATGTTATTATGTGGTTTAGTTTCACATTGTACAACTAGTACAAGTAAGCCAGTGTTAGCTACAAATTTCAATTTTACAAAGCTGCAGATATATATCATATAATTATGAACACCTGAATTTTATATTATCTTATTGCTTTGTACTGCAGGCTTTATGCACAATTTCAGACTGCATTGCAGAAGGCAACTTTGACCAATTAGAAGGTCTGCTGTCTAAAAAGGTAATTAAGTGGTAGTGAACTTAAAACTAATTAAACAAGAAGAAGTTCCAAGCCTATTTGTATGAAACATGATGCATGAGATTGCTTCTTTTAAAGAAGAAGAAGCTAGTGAGAAAGAAATTTATTTTGCACCTATTTAAAAGTGTGATTTGGGGGTTTGTAAATGTAGTTTGAAGATCAATGAAATTAAGGAAGAACCTTACTTGGTTATTGAATAAACGGTGGGGGTTTAGTTAGAAAAAAGTGAGGCCATTAGATCTATAAAGTACCTTTTTTCTGTTTCTTTAATTTTTCCCCCCGTACCACATAGCTTTTAGATGAAGTAAAGGAGACTTGTCAGGGATTAGCACTCAAAGATCGCACCAATATTCAGGTCAACACTGATGATGTCTTGCACGTCTTTCCTCAAAATGTCGCTGTCCACTATGATGAGAGTGGTAAGAGTTTTGAAGTCACTCCTTGGAAAATCATTTAAATGATTGAGTTTGGAGTGGAGAGTTTTTGTGCTGTCGTATTTGAAGAGACCAACAGTAAACAAATGGTTTCTTACTGCACTTGCTTGTTTTTGCCAAATAAGAAATCAAACAGTCAAGTGACAATCAGGCTGATCTCAGAGGTCATTATCTGTTAAACTTGCAACTTTTAGATTACATTTATGTAGAACCCTGGTTTGAGCACCATGAATGACTGTTGCCATGGAAGACACTGACTTAATCTTTGGTCTTTTTTTTAAATTCCAAACAGGTGGAAAGTTTCTGAACATTCTGATGCGATTTTGGTGTCACAGCATGGCGAATGAGGAGAGTGATAAGGGAGTAGTGGGACTACGAATCGGGAAACCACCCCCTGGGATGTCTGAGGAAGAATTCCAGAATATGGGAAGTGTTATCAGCTGCACATATGAGTGAGTAATCAATAATTGGTATACTAAATAATCACTTTACTTATATTACACTAAATTGACATTAGGCCACAAAACGTTAAAATTGAAGGTTGGCCATGTCCTTAGAGTTAAAAAGACGTTACATTTTTCTCTGAAACTTTATGATCATTGGCAGATTCAGGTTCTTGATGCAAGAATGACATAGTGTTCATTGATCAATTCTTCAATACTTCATACACACCACCAAATAAATATTATGCAGAGTTTTTGTTTCGTTTACAAATTCTTGATTTGCTTGTTGGAGAAATAGGGCCTACCTCAATGGAATATTTCAGCATAGCACAGACTTTGATGTAGATACAAACTTTAATGCCGGACTACTGTTTGTTTGTAGATTTCACCGGGACTTTTCTGCAGGGGTGGATCCAAGTTGGGTGGTGACGTATATCCAGCATGGCAAATGGCTGAACACAGAGGCAAGGTGGCTGCCCAAGGAATGGTCCTGATAATTGAGTAGCAATCACTTTACAACCTGAATTGTGCTGCTCCTGGACAGTGTCATGCAACTTGTTTTTTTATCCATGGTGGCCACAGTACAAATGAAGAAGAATGACCCTTCCCCCCCCCCCCACCCCCGAAAAAAAGCATAACAGATCTGCATGCAGTACCACCAAGATCCTTAAACAAGGTCAATTCACAATTTCTGTTATAAATGTACCTTTTGCAAATTTACAGTGTGCCATTAAGTACGCAGTGAAGGGCCCATGACTACCCCTAGTATCTTTTGCTGTTGCACCTATTGTCTTTTGCTTGCATGCTATGAAATTGCTGTAAAAAGTTTTTTGTCAGAAGTGATGTCAGTAATATGTTGAAAAAATATTGCATTATTTGTTCCACAAATTATTGTTCAAAAAAATCATTCAAATATTCAAGTTCAATACATGTACATGTACACGAATTGGGTTTTGCCCTTCACTGACATATTTTTTATAAACAGTGTTGTCCCGAATGTTTGAGAAAAAATTCTAAAAAATGTTATTCTGTGTGTTTTCTCATGATCACTCGGACAACACTGAGTGCACAGTGTTTATGAAATAAGTCAGTGAAGGGCGAAACCTAGTACAATGTACTTGTATTGAATTTACTTCACCGACGCAAATTCCATCTTATGAATAATATGCAAGTTGTCATTCCACTCATATCAGAAATGAACCAAAGAGTAAGTCAAATGATGAAGAATCTGTGTTATCACTTTATTTGATGGAATATGAACATTGTTGATGGTTATCTTTTAAAATTTTATTAAAGTTTTAAATTTTATAAAAGTAACCCGAGCGACTTTCCACTTTTGGCTCTAAACTTTAATTCAACATGAAAGACATGCAGTCTAAGATTATCAAATAGAATTTACTTTGTAGCTGATTTTTACATCAACAGAAAATCCAGTTATGTATGTTTTCTGTTTTATGATAAATTCTGTTTTACACCAACTTTAGAGTCAGATTTGTTATCAAAAGTTCTTTTCCAATGAAATTGCTCAGCTATCGACATTATCGTCAGTGACAACACAAAATTACAGCCACAAAGGATTATGATAGCACTTCCTGAAATGCTTCCTCAATATTCGCCAATAAAATATGGCTGTTGTTGGATAAACAGATTAGAGTCTAGAATTCCTTTGTATTACAGCATTCTGTGAACCGATACAAGAACAATCCTTGGCATGCTTGCAATGGGGAAATGCTCCTTTTATTCTCGGAGCACATTTTTTTCAATTTTTGGTTTATCCTTTTTTTTTTATATGAAGTTTCAGTTGTGTTCCTTGCTTTGGAACTTTAGCACTCGACGACCAGACGTTGTCGTCCGATGTAGTCAGGCATGCAACTTTTCCTCGGATCAGCTGATTTCCTCTTTTTTTACTTCCCATGTGTGCCATTGAAAATAGAAAAACACTGTACAAAGGCTGGGAAAAATTTGAATTTCCTCTTTTTTTGGTGATTTCCCAGTTGCATGCCTGTGTAGTATGTTCAATGAAGATTGTTAACGTTGGGCTAGCCTGTGGAAACAAGCACGGTTTGTACAAACAGTTGTGATTGTCAGACATGCGTTTGCACCATATCCATAATGTGTTGGTAGCGCCCTCTATCGTCTGGCTTGCCCTAGTCCGATTAAGTTGTACTGTCTTGAAAGATGAACGTCAACGCTAAACCATCATCAGTACAAATTGCCTGTTTTTGTAGGATCACGGCGGCCTTTTTATATAATTCACGGAGAAAAGCATTTCAATTTGGAACGTCAAGTTCAATAAAGCAACGTGAAAGATAAACTCTTCATCCATAAATTCATGAATTTATTTTCCCCTGTTGAAGGTCCTTTCGTAAGGATGGAATTATGAACGATTTTTTTTTAGGACAAGTACAAATTCCGATTGAACATGTTTTCCGCAAGCCATGTTTATTTTGTTGCAGAACAGTAATCAAGGAATATTTGAAATATTAATGTCATCGTTTGAATGTCAACAGGAACGTTAAGTATCCCCTGTGCACTTTCTGACAAGGGGAGTAGTCCATAATTTTCTATGCAGCATAAAAAATAGAAAACGAAGTTCCTACATAATTCATCCAAACTTGCGTATTGCGTTGCGTCCTTTACCAATCTTAAGCGAACATCTGTCGCATGTTGAAGGGTTCATTGAACGTACAGACCATTTGAAGTGGGTCTATATGTATGAAACGCCTTCTGTTGTGCATGACGGGGTTGTGCAAAACAGTTGGCTTTTCTAATATGTAATGTTTTCCCGCTTATCGCTACGGATCTACACCAACGCACTTACCTTGCACTATAAATATTAGTTCGTTTGAAAAACATCAGTTGGGTCTCTTTGCTAATGATATTGGTCAGCGTAGAGGCTTCTTAATGTATACGTGATTGAATCTTTCGATTAGACTTCATTCCCATGGCATTATGGTTTGATCCGTCTTCCCCCGTGCACCCCCCCAACGGCTAAGCCCGGGGTTGCATTATGTCTCATCATCAGTTATCATTCGTGGTCGGACGCTGACTGCCGCGGCTTGTGGTCAGCTTTTCGGGATCGATCGACTACGATGGACGGCCCAGTAGCCCCTAACGATCGTGGTCCGACGATCAATCCCGTATTTTTACTTGACTTTTTCCCCCGAGTGACTCCCATAATCCTTGCGGTACGTGTGATGTGCCGAAGGCAACATATACCTGCGAAATTATACCCGTAAACCTTATCAGAATTTCCCACTAGTCTAGAACTATTCCCAGTGACGTCATGACCCTTCCAGCAAAATTTTTGCTAAAGAAGTTCTTCACTCGGCCGTGAAAATCCCCCCATTCCCACTGGACATTAATTTCTTAACTCGTCATTTTTAATCAACCAAGTGGGGAATTGTTGTTATTTCAAATACAACTTTACCTCTCCACATCTAAGAGGTTTCTAAGAAGAATATAGTTTACTGTCATCTTTAATTACAGATGTAACCAAGAAGATTTGACATAAAATGTGGCTTCTTCATCATTCATTAAAGTAAAAATGATCACAACTATAGTCACCCGCTGGTTGGGCTTTTAAGTTCTTGAACAAAGTGACGTATACTAAATCATTGAAATTGATCTTGATTCAATGCAAGCTGACAGGTAAAAATCGTTGCTTTAATATTGTCTGGCTAAGGTTATCCTAAACTGTGTCACCTCGGGTGTTTTGAAAATACTGGGGAAATATCGAATTCTTACTTTTGTTTGCAAGTTTGATTTTTCACCAATGTGACCATTACGGCATGACGTCAACAACATGATGAAATTAAAATAGATCAAAATGATGAACAACACGTTGGCAGACATTAAACATGATACCAAAACAGTCATTTTTTAAGCTACGACCTTGTTTTGGAAATGTATTTTTGAACTCTCAAGTTCAAACCAAACCGGCCGTTACTGTTGCGATAATTAGGAGGAATTGGGAACTCAAAGTTGGTGTTCTTACCCTGATACGACACATTTTTCTCAAATAAAAGACATACTGGGAGGAATTCTTAATTGTCGTAAAATAAAGAGCCGTACAAAATAACCTGTTTTCCCCCCCCCCCCCCCAGAAAAACTGACCCAACAATTGTCAGCCCGGGAAGTATTTTCAAAAGCGAAGTCAGTGGTGGCTAGTTCCTCCTCATTAGAGGGCGCCCTTAAACGTAATAGCAGTGGATATCGCGTCCAGCTATTAATGATGTTGACGTTTCATTTTCTGTCTTTTCGAAGGAGGCATGTTTTCGTAATTCTTAAAGGGATGATTCCATGTACCCACTTTCTCCAAAAAGTGTAGGAGGGGACTTAATCCCTCGGAATTGCTGATACTGTGCATTAACCCCCAAAGTTCATCATAATTATTATATGACCAAACTAAGCTCCACTTTGCAGTGGCCATTAAAACAAAACCAGTAAAAGTCACAGCGCACCTTAACAATACTGATGGAGACGATGAATGCTAATATCATTTCTATCGTCTCTAGTCATATGACAACCTCTTTAAATATTAACACGTCCCCGCGGGGGAAAAGGAGACAACGGAAGCGAACTGTTGCATGCAGTCAGGGACTCGCCAATTTTTTAACAGGAAACGACGAAAAATGGATGGGGGATATGCCAGACACTATTGATCATATCCACTCATGTCATGAATTATAAACATGGACATCTTTTGGTTTCCCCTACGGTGATGGGATCACTGACGTATACCTAGCCTGCGTGCCTTTTACACTGTCATTACTGGTGCGGTTATAGCTTATCCATCACGCGCCGCTATGCGTTCCTTCACCTTGACGGTTAATTTGCCGTGTAGATTTATTCCCCTTTCATCCACCTAACGACGATAATAAAGCAATTTGGAATTAATAAATAAAAACCTATGCACGCTGTAGACGTGCGGCGCAGGTGAATTCGCGAGAGGCTGCACTAATTGAGCATTTCTTTTTAGGCGTGTTCGTCCCCGATGGAGTCAATTAAGCGTCTCTGTCGTTGATTGGTCGCCCGATACCGCGAACGATTCGTCACTCTACCAAACTTCAGTTCAGTGACCAATAGGGTCAATGTCATTTGTCATTTTACCCTTGGAAAGAGCATCGACTCAGGCGATGTATCAAACTTTGTCTTCATCACCAGTTTCGGCTCCAGGTTTTGAAAATCCTACTCTATATTTGCTTTTAGGGTTTGCCGAGATGGTTTTTACCATTTGTCATACCCTTCTGTCATGTTTTCGACAACCGTCAAACGATGACATGAGCCGTAATGGACGTATGAAGCCCAAGCTGCAAAGCTTCTGTTTTTAAAGCTTCAAAAAAGTTGTGCACTTTTGACAGCAAAACATTTAGTGTACAAACCAACAACCCGCTACTTGAACGAGCTAATTATTTATACAAAGATATTGACTTATTGGGGAACCGCCAACATAAGGGCTCGATAGTTCAGTTGGTAGAGCACCGGAACGGTTATCCGAAGGTCGCAGGTTCAAGCTCCGCTCCAGTCAATGGTTTTGTTCAACTTTTCAATTGTTATAATTCACCTAGTCAGTTTCCCTGCGTGGTTCATTTGAATATTTCTACTTTAGTTTGAACAAACGGTAGATGTCGCATCAGATCTAAAAACAATCAGCTAATTGACTAGTATTTAATTTCAAACATCAACGGTAGGCAACGGTACTATTTAGGAAGTAATGTTGACAGCTAGGTCAGATGTTTTAAGCTAATGCAAATGTTACGGAATTTGATTTATTGAAAACACTTCTGGCACTTCCTCTTAATATTTAATGATTTGAAAGATCTGCCTTTCGGATCCATTCTAAAGGTCATTTTTGACAATTAAATGACGTCATTCAATCGGATGACACCCTGTGATCGATAGAGTTGACCAGAGATGACTTGAGGCGTTTGGAATTAGTGCAGTGACTACGGAGGTTCGTGTGGGCTTATGGTTAGTGGTCGTGTTCTATACGGCTGTGGAAAATTGCTAAGGCATTTCCGAGGCAACACTGAAGATTGCATTGGGGCATTGAGTATTATTTCTCCATGTGATCGTATACCAAGTGTGTCAATTGCAATATTTTACAAGCAACCAAAACACCGACCACAAAAGTGCTTCCTTTGATTTAACGCCATAAAAATCAAACTTCGTTGAGACCCTTGAAATATTTTTTAAGTTATTTTTTTTTTGCCAATTTTATTTGGTGTGGGACAAGTTAGACATTAATTGAAAGGACTTCAATTTACGAAATCCTTGGTATTAACTTAAATGCATACCCAGATATGGAATTTGGCTCGGACCATGCACCCAATAAATCCCTTCGTATTTGCCATTAACGGGCCCATCTCTCCGAACAAAATAAATTTATCCGGGCAACAACAACTGTTTTTCATCGAAGGTTTCATTTATCAAAACCGGCCCCTAACAAGATGTTATTTTAGCAGAGAATTCCTTATGGGAATTGAATTGTAAGTTTTTGATATCCACTGATACCAAGTGTACCAAGTTGTAAAGGTGACCATTGATATTTACGTACAGTATTTTGTTAATTAACCATGCAAACACCATTGGCGCCATTTTAAAGCCTATTTGTCGTCTTACATGATGAATTAGCCCAAACAGGAAAAGAACCCCCAAAGGATCTCGCATTTGCAGTTGACTGATGTCAGTTGATGATTAGTGATGCACTTTTCACAGGGTTCGAAGTGACCGTCCAAGGTTCCTACGTCTCATTCGTCTGGTGTCGACGAGTTTCTCTCTCTATAACCTCACACTGTTTCAACACTTAATACGGATGGGGTCCCGGAAGCAATAGATTACAACTTGTTATCCATTAAACCGTCATCTGTTGATGCTTGGTCACGTTCCGGTTGCAGCCGTGCTTCCGTCATCACCACAAATCCACATCCACACACTAGCCGACGTGACACCATTTATGTCATATCTATCAAATCATATTTACTCGCTTTTATTAATGAGACAAGGGTGGAATTAAGACGGTGGTGTGTCTACTGACTGTGTTATTTTTTTTAAAGGGAGGTCTCGGTGGATTTTGCGAAGCTTTGAAGTGCCGCTAAACAATTCTCCACCGAGGTAGTGTTAGTGTTCATACATATCCCACTGCTTTGTTGGAAAACAATAATTACGGTGACCGTCAGAGAACCTCTCTTATGTTTACAAATGGGGCTGTATAAACCTATTGCGCTTGAAAGTAATTGGGTTAGTTACAGTGGTGTATCGAGGCGCTGGGGTGCCTTAAGCTCCCGTCTTGCCGGCGGCATTTTGTTATGAATTGAAAGCGCCACCACTTCTGAAAAATAACATAACCGGAGTTTAATATTTCCCGATTTTACACGGGTTATTCAGCTCTAACAGCAACCGTTAGGATAACTATGACAAACAGAAGTCAACAGAGGGCGTTATTATATGACCTCATTGTAATAAGCTTGTCCCTACCAAGGGGGATGGTAGCAATTCCACATAAGTTTGTAAAGGAAGGACAAAGCATTTGTGTATAACTTTTTGTTGTGATCCGTGGACGCGAACCTTACGGATCATCGGACTCCACCAATATCGTTTTGTTTTGAAGAGTCAATGAAAGTCAAAATTTTGCAGTGCACTATTTCAAGAAACTCTAAACGTGTTAATGCTAGCTTGACGCGCTTTGGACTCACAACCGTGTTAAAAGTGAATCACATCATGCCAAGCATAATACAGGATTATAACCATAGCTATGTATGGTATTAAAACTATAATTGAGTGGAATGGCCTGTACCAATAGTCTGTTGACAAACAAACAAGACATGAGAGATGTCAACACTCGCACTGAACAAAGCGATTCAATTCTGTTCACTGGTATTTAGTAAAAATATCATTTTCGTTCCACGAACTGACGGATACATAGGGAATCCACATCGCGCAGGAAAATTTCACTCAGCGGAGCCCCCCTGATCCCGCCGTCCATTAAATGGATTAGGATCTCTCCGCTTGTATCTCATCGATCTACCAGGCTGATCACATTATTACTGCAGGCTTTAATAAAAACGTTAGAAGAAACTGACCAAGAATTTATCTCAAGTTTTTTAGGACGGATATTATTGTACATGTATTTCAAATGTAGAAATATACAGTGTGTATAATAAAAATGCAAACAGAATACAACGGGATGCCAGACATAGAATGTGTAACCAACATAGATTTGAAAGATACGCCTAATTCCACTTTAACATGAGATACCGAACGTCTATATTTGCCGGGCCTACAAAAAAAATGTGTTTTAGCGAGTAAACAAATTCTAAACACTTTTTCATGCTATCACCCCATTGCTAAAAATGTTTAGCATGTAAACATGTTTCCGAACTGATAGCGAGTGTGTGTTTAGATTTGTGTTTACTCGCTAAACAATTGTTTTGTTGGCCAGGCAATTATCAACCGAGAGGCAATTAGGTTGCCTTTGTCCCAATGCCTAAAATTGAAAACTTAGTCCCATGGTCAATTTGACCTCTCTTGAAAAATTACTCATAACTCAACAATTATCAGATTTGGACGTTTGATGTCTTATTTTAAAGTGGAAAGGCGTATCTTTCAAACCAAACCTACATTTCTACGTCTGGCATTCCGTTTTATTTTGTTTGCATTTTTTTAATACTCACTGTATAGTACTGTGTATTAGTCCACAGGTGTGGTATACCACCGGTGTGATAAGGGTGACAGTGACACGTTCTGAAATTGAATAGGCCTTAAAAGGTGACAGCTATAATGCACAGTGTTTTAATAAATTCTCTTTGACGTAAGGTGCCTGTCTTTTGCAGTCCCACTGTCTGTGCGACATTTGGACAAGTCGGTGTGTCGCAGAAGCGCATGGATAATTGAAAATCGTTGCAAGAAGTGCCAAAACATCACCACAAGCGTTTGGTACACAATTCCTCACCCTTAATGGTTCCTGCCATAAAGCCTTGTTTCTGCCAGAGAAAGTGTGATTTTGCCTACCTCGCCGATTTAGGGCTGCTGACACAAATTAATGAGTTGTCACATATTTCCTTGATGGAAAGTTACACGGAAAAATGTGCTGTTGATACATTTTACTACAAAGACTTCTACTTTCAAGGCTGTTTTTTTTTTCCAGTGCCTTATACGCAAGCCAAAAATTTGGGAAAGCGATGAACATGTATACAGTTGGGAAAGTGATATACATGTAGGCCTATATACCTCAGTCCCTACTCATGAATCAATGCCCCAGTATACCTTATCTATTGGCGACGAAATCGGGCGTCAACATATTGAAATATGAGGAATACATACGGGAGCAGCCAGAGAATCACATTATGACAAGGTTGTGCATGGCTTGGGAAGGGCATATCATTTGTTTCTCGAATTGGAAATTTAAAGGAATACCCGTTTCTTTTTGAGAGTATTTAGGAATATAAGACTCTCACGGACTTAATTAATCCGCTGGCCATGAGTGAGATTGGGGACAGTAGTCCCTCTTCTCCCCCGATTCGCAAGTGTCTCGCTAATGATGAATGTGCTGAATGAGATGCGTTGAAATGAACACATACTTACTAAGGCTTATCCTGCGGAGACTAATTGTCCACACGACCGGAGTTGCCTGCTTATACATGCACTATATGATCCCAAGTCAATACTTCAACGGCTTCCGGGGCAAGATGAATTAAAAACTGTTTAACGTTTGGGTGGAGTGCACTTTCACAAGAAGCTTATTCAATGAAGATGCGGATTATGGAGTTATTAAAAATATATTTGCCGCCATGCATAGACAACATTAAATTTTAATGTTGTCGCCTGGTTTCGGTTGATGTGACGTCAGCTGGATATTCTTTCCTTGACCCAATTCAGACCACTCTACTACTCTAAAAAAAGTCCCGGGTCAGAGTTGATTCGAAATACTGGTCATATAGGGCATGACACCTTTACGGGTCAAAAGTGGCACATTTCCGAAATTTACTCCCTTAATTGAGAGCAGCTGGGGTAAATAATGATGTAGCACCAATCATGATGTTCAGGACCAATATTTGGGCACCAATAATGGTGGATACGTTCGCTTACAAATACGCATTAGTTTTACATGTATTATTTTTTTATTAAGGAATGGATTCTCATGCAAATGTTCTTTGTTCAGCAATCTTCATAGTAACGCTAACGACCCAAAGAGCCCTTATTTGTTCGCACGACTGCAGTATAACTTATTGATCCAATATTGTTATTCCGCGTAAAGAATGAAGCCGAATTAATTTCAAAATAGTGCAAAGTCCACATTTTTAAAGTAAACAGGCTTTAATATTATTCAAATGATACATTTTACCCACACAAAAGAAATAGAGGCGCCGACAAATAATCACAACAGATTTTTTCAATGCGAGTTTTAATGAACATAGGCCCTAATTCTGTTTTAATATAACCCATAAGAACTTTTAAATATTCGTATTTAAATTTTAACACACATGAAGCGAAAAAGCGAATATTTACAAGCAATAAATCACATAACACGTGCGTCAATGTTCCCATATCAAGCGTTTCCAAGACATAATTAGATTTCGCAAAGGACATATAATGCAAAAGGTATGTATTTAATACATGGGCAGGGTTTTAATGCACTAGTCTATACTTACAGTAGGTATATTTTGGGTCAAAAGTATTAACTCAGCACGTCAGGTGTTTGTCACAACTTGAACCCGAGATTGCAACTTGATAAGCTTTAATACTGTATTTGTTAACTTTTATGTCTTAATGGCCGCAAATCAAGCACCGAGTAACTGTTATCTCTGATTTTGTTATGTTTTCTTCAACAACTTTACCTGGGGTATTAGAAACAGACACTAGCAGAATGTGTCAGTCGTAGGTGTGGCAAACTCTATTCCTTCTTGGGCCTAATCGAATATCTACTTGGGCCCAGTCAATTCGCCATATACACTCCTCCGAGCACACCCGCTCGTTCCAATCAAAATCATACTCCAATCACCTCGTACCTCTCTGTTGAGACGGACTCACACCCATACCATCATCACCCTTCCAGGTCCCTCACTCATCATTCAGATAGGAATACCAGTATAGTAATTGTAACATTTCTCATACCCTCATAGTATACTCGTGCAGGTGACTTCACCTACACGTGCCAGGTATTGCACCTGCATGTACTAGGTAACATCACCTGCACGTACTAGGTAACAGCACATACACCTGCTAGATGACAGCATCTGCACGTACTAGGTAACAGCACATGAACGTGCTATAGGTAACATCACCTGTACGTGCAGGTAACAGCATCTGCACGTGCTAGGTGACAGCACCTGCCCGTGCTATAGGGCTAATTTCGTGGAGCTGCTGAGCACAGAAATTGGCCAAGTAGAAACATTAATTATCAAAGGGGTTACTAATAAAATTGTCATGTGGTTCACTTTGCTGGTGAATGTCTATCAGCTGCAGTTTTGTTTATATTAGGACGTAAAGTTGCTAAGCAATGTGTCCTGATTTCTAGATAGAAGCTCGGTAAAATTTGCCCCAATAATTGTACCAATAAGTCCCTCTCTCTTCCTCATCCATGCTAGTGCCACTCTCAGTCACTTCTCGCGTACCATTGTACATATTAAAATATGCCAGCCATTCTCTAGTTCTTTCAAGCGTATAGAACATGTAACTAGTATCCTGGAAAATTGCTTTTTGCCTCAAGGAAATATCTGCTCCGTATGGGTTTTATCGTGCTATACATAATGGCCGAAAATCCATTTTCCCCTTTAATCAACGAGGCGCGCAATGGCGCCTAATTTATTAACAGTGATAGCTGTACAGGAAACGGTTCATCATTACTGATAGTCAAACAACTGATATTCCAAGGTGGTGACAATTGGAAGTCCGAGTGTTTGACAGAGTTTAGCTTTAATTAATTGTTTCATCGGGCGAGCATTGATGAAAAGTGTCGCTGCCTTTAACTTTAAACAAAAGTGCACTATGAAGCGTCTAGTGCGTGGGACGTGTGAGGTTTTCAAGGGGACTGCAAACAAAGCAAGGGTTATCAGAACCTTTCAATTAGCTATTGCCGTTGAAATGGACAATGATTATAATGGTTTAATTGGTGGGAGAAAAACAGGCTTTGGGATAAAGTCGGACTTAAAGAATTCCACTCATAAATGGCTTGTTCAGGTCAGTCACACGCTCCTACCTGCGTGGAATCGCAGCAATTTCAATTTGTGGCATTTCCGTCTTTGTAAGTCGGCGTGGACATTAATTTAGGCGCCGGCTGACTCACATGCTAGGGTGTTCCATGGGGAAAAAGGGGCAAAAAGCGCAACATTCAATCAATTAATTTTTGCCGTCGATTTCTCATCAGGGACTTCTGTGCAAAGATTTACAATACATTGCGTACGGTTCACAGACCACCATTAGTAGACCGAGCCTTAAGTGATCAAGATAGATTGTTTTTGTCGCATTCATCTGTCAATGCTGCCGTCCCTTAACACTCACATCCCAACCCACGGGAACAGTGCAGTAATCGACATTACGACACACATTTATCGTAGAGAGTGCTCGGACTTAACAGAAACAGGTGATTGCATCAATTCATTTGGGCAGCTTTTCTTTAAAAAAAACCCGATAAATTTTGTCGTATGAGAATCATCACAAAAATCTTCACAGAAAAAAAATAACAACTCATGTAATTTCTTTATCTATATATGTCACGATGTAATGCTCAACTAGACTCACATATTTTTGTTTAGAGTATCTTCGTTTTTGTTAGTTCTTAAAAGTGAGACCGGTGGGTACTAGAGAATTATGAACTAATTGGTAGCGAAATAATGTTATTTAGTGTTTTATGTGCACAAACTCACATCGCACAAATTTCGCTGTATGGCAACAACCAAAACTGGCTCCCATTATAGACTAACACGAAGGAGACAGGGTCTACCTGCAATGGTTATGCTTCATTCTTTGTGTATGAAATGGCAAAGCTTTATATCATTTGCGAGAGCATCGATCTGAATGTGTCACTGCCCTTTGTTCATTGAAGACGATATTTATGAGGCTCATAGTTTCGAGCTGTTTATTTGTTCCTCTCTGTGACGCATTGTCCCGATACTCTTCTCTCGCCCTTTCAGCCCCAGTTAATTTTTGTGGAATGTCATTAAGTTTTATGCTTTCCAGGGCTCTAAGAGTGTATATTTGAATTTTAAAATCTGCAACAGTGCCGCGCAGGAATTATTCTGACCTTTAGGAGTTCGTCATCGTCGTGTTTTTCACCACAAACATCAGACAAAAAAAGGTTTCAAGTCGCTGGGTTGTATAATTCTGGAACAGTTAACGGATTTTTTGATACAAGAAAAAAATGCACAACAATTATGGGTGATAAACTACAATTTCTCGTCATGGTCACAAGATCCTTTTTGTATCAGTCTCAAAGATGTTAACTACTACATGAGCTTCTTAACTGAGCTTTATTAATCCTTTACGACCAAAGTAATTTTACAATCATGGTTTAAATAGTGGTTAAATAAAACACCTCGAATTATTTAATCTAATTGTCGTAACGACGGTGGCAGTTCCCAATAAAAATGTCCATGTGCCCTGTCTAGAACGTTTGAGGGGTTACCCTACCCATCATCAGAGCCGATTGAGATTAATTTGAAATTCCCCTCACTTGTAGGGTGTGGGGTGTAGATTTTCACAACTTTCCTTTATGTGGAACCATGTGCTAAATGGTTTTGTCCCCAGTGACAGCAATGCCACTTTTTTATAATATAAAACGATAAGGAGAACGTTGGAATGGAATATTGTAATTAAGGTATCTCCAAATTTTCTTACACATATAGTTAAGAAGCCTGTGTTAGGATGGTTACGAATTGTCAGAGAAAACAGAAAGATGATGGTGAAGTAACAGAACACAGTTTACATAGATATAACATTTTAAGTATATATTAGAATAATCTCTATTGGCTTTCTTGGCTGCTTCAAATCCTGAAAAAGCTTCTTTTGTAAACATATTCATGGCTTTCACTTGAGACGAAAATGCTGAAGACAAAGAGCTGAAGGTCATCCTATGACATTTGTATTGAGCAAACCCGTCAAATGCGTGAAATTATTTCAAATTCTGCATACCAAATGCCGACAGTACAATTATAACGCCAATTCTATTAGGTAAAGCAAGCCATAGTATGGACTTATACATCAACTACATTTGCGTGACCACGTTGTGTTCACCGTGCACACTGTGCCTTAGTACCATATTTTGGACAGAAGTAATTAATAGCGTGTATTCCAATAGCGGGAATTCCAATACTACATTCCTATAGCTTTGTCATCCTAGTAATACAACATGAACAAAGAAATCACTTTAATATGCTTCCGATTTTCGGAAACACGGAGATACATCTGTAGATATAAATATTTAATCAATGATCAAATGACTGATAACCATAAAGTATGGGTTAGTTTCACTCCCATTAAGAGGACCTAGTACTTAACTGACAAAAATGGCCACGTTTTTAAAGATTTTTTTTAACAATTAGGATGTGCTGGAAAGGATCATATCAACATGTAGTATTTACGATTATTCACTGTTATTTGTTAGTATTGCTTTATATTTAACTTTCTCGGTAATTGAGCTATACGATTGTACATGGATATAATGATTCTCATTACATTTCCCTGTTATTGTCCATCAACAAAATACACGCGAATGGACAAACGGATCCATCCAGAAACTTGGAAAATGTCAAGCAAGGTATCCAGCAATATCAGATGCGCAAAATGTCGTTTTAAACTGTGGCAAAAATGAAAGACACTGCAATAATGGTGTTACATGCAATACGCGTATGTCTGTGTGCACACTGCAGAACGCTAGCTGTTACACGCTGAACCTTTGCAGACGACAGCAAACGTTACCTTTGGAACCCAATTTACATGCCATAGATCAAATTTTTCCAAAAAGGCTGAAACCTTTTAGTGGATTCTTTATACAGTATAGTGGTGTTCCACTTAATACGAGAAAGATTAAACTTCACCAACCTCAGGGGAATTACTACTGTGCCCTTGCAGCCAACGAAAATGTATGGCTAATGGCCTTTTCTCTTTTTTAGATATCTCTTTTCAAAGTAAAATAGACATTGGGACACATGACGTGTTCATAATGGGAAATTAAAGTGCGAGTTTGTTTAGAAAAGTAGCGCAGATGACGTTTATCATAATCAGGCCTAATATATATGATCAATATTCAAAGAAATGTTTCTTCGCAAGCTAATAAAATATTTTCTTTCAGAGTTTTTTACAATCTCAAGGCGCTCGGCTGATGTTTAAAGTCTGTGCTGGATGTACAAAAATGTACCAGAAGCTCAAAAATGTGATACTATATAAAGAGACAAAGGGCCAAAGTCAAATTTCAATTTGAAGAAAGCAACAACAAAATATTTCAATGTTTCTCATATAAGCGATCAATTGAAAGTCTTCAATATACGTCTTCTGCGAAAAGTGATTGGCGGCGGAACACATTCTGCGCATGCTCAGATGCTTGTTTCCTACTTGACGTCACCGCCTCCCAGTCCTCATCTGCACGTGGGGGAAAAAGGAAAAGAAAAGGGTGATGATGTAATATCCAATAGAGAATGAGAGCAAGTTCTACTGGTGTCCTGTATACAAGAACATTGATGTTACCCCAACCCTTTTCCCAGAACTCTATTCTCGTTTGTTCAACTGTGTATTACTCGACCAAATATTAGGCTACCACTCCGACACGCTGAATATGACCATGTGCCCTGTGACGTCATATCAACTGGCAAACCCAAGCATTTAGTATCTTTTTTTTCATATTCCTCCCCCAACATTTAACAGTTTATGACACCTGTGTGACCAACCACAATCCAAGATATACACAGTCATGCAGTGCACAGTTTGCTGAAAGTTGGCATCACGTGATCACAACATCTAAGTTGTACGCAAATGTAACATGGTCTGTAGCAAGTTGGTAAGAATTAATGTGTGAATGTTGAACGTTCGCTCGGATGCATGTATTTGATATTTTATTATGTGCGGTGTATGTCGCAGGTGCAAAATACATCCCAACACCTTCCTCCCACAAGATTACACATCAAAGTACACACGTGTAGATGTGGCCACGCATAAACAGACGCCAAATTGTCACACGAATTAGTCCAATTTGATGGACCAGCGAGCGCGCACACGTATACTCGCTTTTTCAGGAAGCCAGCATATTTGAGACCAGCGCCAAGGGAAGTTTGATCGCGTTTTTAAGACAAGCCTTCGCATTATCCGGGCGGAAATTTCAAGATAAAAAGCCATTTACAAACTCGTGTTTCGCGATTGAGTGCATGTACTGAACGTGGCCGTGCCTGGGACTCGGACACTTTCAAGGCCAGTCGACATACGGGCGGCTTTGCAAAAATTGATTTCACAATCTGTGAGAGTGACAGTGAAAACAGAAGCCACTCAATCGCAACTCATAACAGGTGACTGTTAGTTTGCGTTTAGGGCTGCTTATTGCCTGCCCATTACTTGAGCAAACAACGGATAAGACACACGAATGCCAGGCGGCAGGCAGTTTGAACAAGCCGTCCGTCTTCCATACATCAACCACGGAAGACACTCGGGCACTATCTTCAGCCCTATATCAAAATCTCTTCAGCAAAATCGATGGAGTTTCTTTTAGTGTGGCGATTTTGCATTATATATACATAAAAGTGATTTCTTTTTCTTTCATCGGAGCCTATCGTGGCGGCCCGATCATGTTTTACTGTCTCTGTCAGAGCCAGCTTAAAGTTGACCTTCTTGGAATATTGATAAGCATCTGACCGTCTTAAGGCACAAGAGTGACAGATATTATTTTGTCGGTACAAAATTGGTCGCATATCGATGTACTTAGCTTTCTTACTTTAAAGCAAAATGCACAGTACGCAGTGACAATTTTTTCAATAACTTCCTTATGGTTGTTCGGGCACTGTATCAAACTCATTGGTAAAAAAAAACCACAGTTAAGGCTGAGTGATTCGCTTGGACCAAGCGTTCCATTAAAACACTAACGGAATTTACGGTCAGTGTTGTATTAATTTTGGTATAACGAGATATGGTGTTTTAATATAGATGTTTCATTTGGGAAAATCAAAAATCGGCCAAAAAAAAAATACGATTGCTATCTCGATCATGATTCACACTTGTGCCGTTGCTTAAAAATGTCAAGGTTTTCGAGAATTTGCATTGCATTATTAGCGAACAAAAATACTAAGATTCGTGAGGAAGCCAAACAGAGGCGATGATCCCACACTGTAACTTCGTTATGTCTCCAAACCTGGCAAAACAACAATCTAGCCATTCTAAAAATACATCACATTCGCCTAAGCAAATTTAATAACCGACCAGAAATAGCATCATTTCAATGCAAATCTGCCTGCGTTGAAAAGGTTTGGAAAACGGGAATGCAATTAGCAATAAAAAACTACATGACGAAAATGACAAAGCTAACAAACGAAACAAAGATGTAATTTTTGCTTCTTATAATGCCCTTTAACAAAAAGTCACAATTAATACCCCAGGTTGAAAGAATTCGGTAAACAAATTTCGACGCACGGAAAAAAACTTCTCCTCTTAAAGAACACCCAAATGTACGAGTGCGAAAACCTCCCGAAAGGATTCCTCGTAATATGATTTTGGCAAGCATGTAATTCGTAATGTTCCGGTAAGTCACCGCAAGGCACATCCTGATTTGGATGTTGACGTTGGTAAACGCTTGTATTCCTCATAGAACGCCCCTCCCCGTAAGCGCGCGTGAGGCGTTACACGGAACACGTCATTTCAGCTCGAACCTAGTGTAGTGATGGCAGCCCGATATCTCCCACCGCTTTTGGATTAAAATAGAAGTCCGCCCGGAGCATACAGGCGAAATTTTCTTCCCTTCCGTGCGTTGTTCCACGACAGTGCCGTAACAACTTTTCTACGACTACTTAATCAAAATTTCAGTGACCGTTTACTGTACTTTAGTCGGACTATAATCGTGCGGTCTCTTCCAAATATAAATTCAGCGAAAATAAATAGCATTTGGCCAAGTTACTATTTTGGATTTGTCAATATTGGGAATGCACAATTATATGCCCGATTACCCGCAGTTCTGATCATTTGGGAACTACGGTGGGATTTGTGAGGTGTCTTTTTCGACTGCAGTTCTGCAATGTATTTTTTCGATAGTATACAGTTTGTTACTTTGCCGGAGCCACACTTCCTTAGCATCAAGCAATACATCCTTGGGGAGGACCAAGCAAAATATAATAGGAAATGGGGGGGGGGGGGGAGGGGTGAATGCTAAGTTTACATTTAATTCAGGACTGCATACTTACTGTCGTTCTGGTCTTGTACATCGAACGCATCTTGGTCGGCTTGATGCGTCTCCTTCAAGAGTTTCAAAAGATTATTCAAAACGCCTACAATCCTGCAACCGAGAAAAACAAAACATACAAAGGAGCTCTGAGAATTATCACGTATACCACATGGCAGGATTTGAAAAACATAGTAATAATTTATTGCATTTGATACTAACAACTATGGATACTTCATCCCACGGTATGATTGTCAAGGGCAATGCAAAACACCCTTAAATTATTGACTTCTAAGTGTTTTAGTAACGTAGCAACCAAATCGTGCATCTGATGTACGGTTAGTGCCCCGTCATTAGGCTTTGTTGAATCCAATTTAGTCTCCAACGAACGTAATTCTACTGGCTTAAGAACACTTGGACGCTAATGTGAAGACCGAAACATAATCGTGAACCAAAGACTTTAGCCATTCCCGACGACAATTTACCTTGTACCTTCTCTTTGACTTAGCTGGTTGACTTTCAGCGGGGCGGGAATGAAACCCACGATTTTTTACTGTAGCAAATCTACTTAGTTCCCCAGGTCTTAACCACTCGACTTGTGAACTCAAAACTTTTTCAGAAACGGCATGAACGCTCGTGGGGCTATCCGTTGGGGAAAACTAACATTAAATCGTACAACCAAGTAAGCGTCAGTCAGTTTCTTATGTCATCATCAATATTCCAGTATAAAATGAATGTTTTTCCCTTCTTCCCCTTTGTTCACAGGGGTTGGTTGAACCTCAACCACTACGTCACTGTGCTTATAAGATGTTAAATGAATGTGTTTGTAAGGGTACTTGACAGTACTAAATAACAACAACACTTTACACTTTAATAAGTTGAAACGGGAGTTTTGGCAAAGTCATGGAGGTAGAAAGTCAACGGTGCACCGCCAAATACGGTAACGTTAGATGCCACAAAAACCCCCAACAATTAACATCAAAAATGTAAGTTGAAAGTAGACTACCGCCACTGAGTCGCAATAAAATTTGGTCCATTAAAGGCACCTACGTAACCATTAAACAGGACAACAATAAAAGCCTACACGACTAATCAAAGTAATGAATCTTTCAGTGTTCCCAATTTATAATGCCATATCGCAATTTTGTTCATACTGCACGTCACGGGATCTTTTCTAAGTCTTTAATTCTAGCAAAACAGTCCAAGATGGTATCTGTGACTGGAACAATGGAACTAAATTTTAGGCACATTGATTTTCGGTTAGGCACAATGGCATTGTACGTCAAGGGTATTTTTAACAAAGTGGTTTACGGCAACGCGTGAGAATATGCATGTGCATCAAATTACATCAAAGATGCGCATCAATTTGCAGCGGGAGTTATTTCTATTGAATCGAAATCTCGCTCCAGAGTCAAGGCCATGTTCTGAATGGAACAGTGAAATACTGATATTTGCGACGTGCCTGGATTCGACAAAAGGCTTGTCAGCGTTTGGTATGAAGTCTGCAAATAATACCGGTCTTTTAGGAAGCGGTCACGATGTTCCAGAAACAGTTCAGGAATTGTGCTGGTTAATGGATTACAATACAGGTTTCTTGCTTTGGAGATAGCACTGTAATACGAGACTTTAAAAGCAGCCCACAGCCAGCCTTAGTACGTGGCAAACCTGTTGAGATGTAAAGGATCCGGCGACTATTGGCAGGACGTCTTCACGGAGCTCTCCACCACAAATCGGACTTTGCTCAAGGGTTGAAGGAAGCGGTATCCATCAGGTACTTGCAAGATGTCCGTGTCGGCTCTGTCCCAAATGGCTCCTATACACAAAGCTAATTGAATCGCCAGACGACATACCCTTACCGCCTACGAGGGCTTAGACAGTGAAAAGATAGCTTAGCCTCAACAGCTGCATTGATTTTTAAGTGTTGGAAAATGATACTAATTACACCAAAAGAACCAGGCGGTACGTGGTACCTCGGCTGACGGTTGGTAACGCCTTTAGGCGGGAAGAGTTGATACCTTCCAAACACCACTCAAACACGTAGACAACCCACGTCTACACTTTTGAACAAAATAGCATATTGATTTCACCATTTACATGCAGAGGGTGACAAATATCAAACAAGGATTTATTCTTTCGTTTTTTAAAAAAACGCTGGAGCGAACTAAAGCTTCTCGTATTACGGAAGCATTGTGCAGGTTTTTTATTTGCCCGACAGCGGGAAAAGAGGCTACATTGACTCATTGTTTAGATCGTATCGTAAAACGTCTCGGTTTGTGTTGAAAGGCCAAGTACATGGAATCAATAATTTAAAAGACAATAAGAGCAAATAAAAGCACTACCCTAAAAACAACTTGTTATAAAATTGCTTTTAAAATGTTTACTCGTCACATGCATAGCTCCGATTGGGTAAAAACCATTATCAATCGCGACAGTGCCGACTGTTGTTTGCGCATGCAGAAGAGCTATAGAATGTTTAACTTTAATGGAATTACCACTTATGGTCTGCCGAGCGTTAACGCCGTTTCCGCGAATTATCCTTGCTCAACATGCCGTATTTATTAACTATTCCACGGAAGTGACATTGAAGTGGCTATTTGGCGGTCTTTTCAGGTAATAGACAATTCCGTTGTAATTTGTCTTTTTTAATCTAAAAGGTTTTTTTTTTTCGCAGAGGCTTTTAGGTCGACATTCTGTAAACCAATGATGTATGAAAACCAATTCAAATTGGCGTGTGTGTCTGGTACAGATGTAGGACAGGGTCTGTATGTCTCTGGACTTGGACCATAGGGAACAATGGGTGTTCATCGACGCATTGTTGCCAACTTGGATTCGCCATACACGGGATTTGTCTTTTGATCTAATTATTTACTTCCAAACGTACAATTTATTGTCAGTGTTAGTGCAGCTTGGGGCAAATGCATATTGAAGAAGATGGCAGGATATACTGTCGTGTCGATTGCGACCGATAACATGGAAACACAAACCGAATTTCAGGTCGCAATGGATGAATGAAATTATTTATAAAACACCTCTGCATCAATACATTTTAACAATCATGCCGAGTGTTATGAAAAACAGGTAACGCACATAATATTTCGTTAAGTGTGAAGTTAATTTGTATTTGCACCGTATGGAACAGTAAGCTTCATCTTTTTAATACAATAAATTTGTAAAGCGTAAAACATTTTGTACGAAATTGACCTGCAGTGGAAAAATATTGGACACGACATAAAACAATTAAAACAAAAAGTGTAACTTTATTACATTATGAAGAATCTTCTTTCTGAAATAGATTAAGGATACGATAAAACTATAAAAACATGCACATGCGCTTCCTAATGGGCTTTTGTGTTACCTTGAATTCTTATATAGCTTTTGCTGCTCCTGCTTATTCGAGGATGAAAATGACCTTCGGGTATTGTAACCAACAATAAAGACTTCATTTTGTTTCCCGTTGAATTGACCCTTTTCAAGGCTTGTACCTAAATGTCTCTTTAGAGGACTGAAATCTTATTTAGGTGAAGGCCTGGTTACAGTATGTCTTTTTTTTATGGCTGTCCGTTTTTATTACCGTTGTTCGTGAGATTTTATGTCGCAACGTAACATGTCTTATTGTTTATCAGTACTTGTGTATGAAGTTCACTTGTGTGCTGACTCGTTTTGTTTATTTAGATAGCACTAACATTGTTTTCTAAAATGGGAACACTGATTTGAAAATAAGACACCTGATCTATTGTTGGTGCACTATCGCGCCTTGACTATTGAGAAAAGGGACACCGTGTTTTTTTAACTCAATATCTGCATTCGGTGAATAAAAAAGACAAACCAAATCGACCCTGATTTTTCCGAATCAGAAAATGCTGCATGTTGTTACTGTTGGTATACTGGACAAAATTAATTCATTTACAATGTGCATTCATGGACGCGCGCGCTCCCCTGACCTTTGGTGAGCAGATGTTTGATGATATTATACTGCGTCTTATCATCCGCGAAATCGTGGAATAAAACCGAGATAAGAAATGTCCATTCAAACAGAGAGTAAACGCCCAGTTCAGGTTGAACCGTTTGGGTTTTTTCAGAATGCAAAGGTTCTTGCTTTGATGGGCAAAATAGCTCCAGGCACAGTTGGGATGGGAATAAACACCTTTTTTTCATTCTGAAAAGAAAAGTGGATCTGGAACGTACTGTCTATGAACACTGGGGTATTTCCCAAAGCTAGACTTTGTCTCCAGGTGTAGCTTCATGAGAATCTAAGCCACATCATGACTAATTAGGAACCCCAACTCCATATATGTGAATTTTCAACTTGAGGAACATATTAAATCATCTTATTAGAGTACACCATTTTGACGAAAAATTCTCTGTGATTTTACATGGGGCCTGAGATAAAGCCGAACGGCCACGTAGCCGAGATTTTGAAAGTGGCATTGATTCCAATAACTGACCACGAGAGTTACAAATGCACAATACGCAGTCTGGTAATCCGTGTAGTGTATTCACAGCTGCCCGGGTTTCCAGCTGAATTCTTCCTCCCGTTTGACTCTACTTTCTTCTCTTTTAACGCTCATGTTTACTTCCTCTTAATTTTCATTGATCTATTCCAGCATGTGTACTGTCTGTAAACAAAAAGCGGATGAACGACATTTATAGGGACGAACGTGAAATACCTCCCTGAATCATGTGAATCGTGAGTTAATGGCCAAATTTCGCACTGCGAATTTGCAAAGCTTGAACACATTGGAACCCCGGCGAGTTTTGCGGCGATCGTTTCGTGGTGTCACATACGCGATAGGAAACACGTCACTGCTCGCGAAGAGGGGAATAAAGTTGTCACATTTGCTACCTGTAAAATGTGGCTGAGTTATATTCTATTTTTGTCAAAGTCAAGCGAAATCGTGACGTCATGTGGCTATGAAGCCACACTTCTCTGTTGTTTGTCCGCACTATTCCCTTTGACGGTCATAACGACAATGGTCATCATTCATCATCATTAGCCTAATTCAATCCACTGCTGGATGAAGGCCTCTCCACTAACTTTCCATGCTTTTCGGTCCCTTGCCAGTTGTTTCCATTTCTTCCCTATGAAATCAGAGATTTCATCTCGCCATCTCTTA